ATTCTGGTTCAGCACGACAAAGACAAGGATGGCTATCTCACGAAAGATGAAGTCATTCGCCTTTCGGAATCACTTCTATTCATCTTCCGCAACGAACCTGGAGACATCTACCTTGCCTCGGTCTCGAAATTCATTCTCAACGCATTTGAATTTGGCGATGCCACTGCCCCCGAAGGAAGCGTGACGAGTCCCGTGGATAGAGAGACTTTGGATGGTGATAAGGAGACTGCTAGCAGTGTCCGGGAAAGGTCGGATTCGACTGCTGCTCCACACAATGTACCTTACCTAAGTCAGTACAGCACCTTCACTTCTGCAACACTGCTGATATTGTTTATAGATCTACCCACCTTCCGTATGGTCGTTCTGGCGGATGAGCTTCTGGAAAGCTTCTTTGACCATGACCTACCTGCATCGTTCAAGCTTGAAGTCGCAGAGGAAGAGGACTATCACCAGGCCCACCAACGGCCAGATGGTCTGTTGGGCGGTCTCATGAACCTCGTCGTAACCAACGAGTACGTCCACCCTCTCTTGTCGACTCGTGGCGATATATTGATATACATCTACGCAGGAACAAGTCGCGACTCAATCGCTTTGCAGACGGGTTTGGTGCAGCGCTTGGCAAGCATGCCGAATGGCGCAAACCTTCCTTGGCCAAGGCAGCAGACCCAGCTGTAGCCAACGCGTCCACCGACCTGCGCGCTCGCGAGTCACTACTCACTCCTGCCCAGCAACAAGGCTTCTTCCAGCGCACCCGCTCCTCTTCCTCGACTTCCCACATCTCCCAAGCTTCCCAAGCTTCTCAAGCGTCCAACAAGACTGGATCCACCATCGGAGGAGCCAGCATGGAAGAGAAGCGAAGCCTGGCCGACGTGGCTGCGCGGTACAGAGAAGAGTCGCAGATGGTCAAGGCAGCCCAAGAGGCCGTCATGCAGCGTCCCAACTTTGCTATCGATGCGATTGGTGATAGTGATGACGAGGGAGATGAGGAAGAGGACGGTGAAGGGGGAGATGATGAGACGGCGGCCATCATGAACGAAGTGGAAAGGTTCTTGGCTCAGAATGGAGGCGAAGGCGAAACGGAAGAAGAAGGCGGGTTGAAGGGAGAACAAAAGAAGATGGCCACGGAACTGCTATCGGCTGCGCCGATGGGCAAGCCAGGTGGAAATGGCAATGGGGCGTTGGTAGATCTATAAGATAGAGTGTTTGCTACATGAGCTTCCCTGTATTGTAACATGGTAGAAAAGACTACGAATGCTGCTTTTTATTTCATGTACACAAAGGCGTCTTACACCGGTTTTGGTTTTTGACCGAGGACGACGATCTGTATCACAAGGTTTCATGGGATATTGCGACTCAATCAAGATTGTAGTTCCGACTTAAGCTCGTTCCACCAAGTTTTCTCTACTTCTCCCATTTCCCCTTCGTTCTCGATTTCCCCAACCCACCTCTCCACATCCTTTCTCCCAATCTTCCTCTCTCCCTCCGGAAGAGCCTTTAGCTTGACTAGCAATTTCGTGGAACCTTCTTGGTATTTTACCAATGACTCGGACGGTATTAACCCAGTTTGAGTGGCATAGAAACACACTCGAAGCTGTTGCAGAGCGATAGATCTTCCGAGCAGCTCGGACTCCCACCCGGCTTGGTAAGGCAGATCGCTCCCTCCGATGCTGGAGCCACCGATCGAAAGCACACCGCCCGTGGATGCGGGTGCAGGGCCGATGCGCACAAACTTCCAGCCCAGCGTCTCACCTGCTCGGCCGGCGTAGGTAGCAGCATTGTCGAACAGCTGTACGACATTCCTTTTGGCCGCGTCATTCACCTCTGAGAGCTTCGCCCTAGCGAGACTGGCCTTGGACAAGGACAGGAAGATAGAAGGCTTGAATGTCCGGGGGGTGTTGCCATCTGTGGGCAAATCGGCGGCCGTGGTAAGGTGGTTTGTTGCTTCGGTCAGATGCAACCAGGCATCTTGGGCAAGAGACGAAGGGCCCGGGGGCAGCTGAGTGCTGAGGAAAGCGAGCCGGTTCGCTATGGTCATGTGGGTGTCGGCCAGAGTCGTGATGATCTCTGCTCGCAAGTGACTATCTTCGCCAGCGGCACCAGTCAGGCTTTCGAGGACTTTACCGAGAGCCGCAACGGCGCCGTCCAACGATCTTTCGACGCCAGAACCAGCTTTTGCCTCACCCTTGTATGCGTCCCAGATGAGACGGTCCATGGCAAGAAGCACTTTGATCTCCAAAAGAAGGAGCTCAGGCTGCTTTTCTTCGGGAGCAATAGCTGCTGCGCGGTCAAGAATGACTCGGACGGCGATTTGCTCGTCCTCGGTCGGAGGTTGAGGAGTAGGCACGGACTCCCAAAGAGTGAGATGGATGTCCATGAGAGTCACAACGGTGTCGATAAACGTGGAAGGAGTGGGGAGATGCGTTTCAAAGGTCGCTGAGTTTTCACCCTCCTCGCCCTCCTTCGATCCTGCGTCCACCTCCATGCCCTCGCCCTCGGCAGAGCCCTCAAGCGCTTCAGTGGCCTCTTCTGAGGCTTCATCGGTTTCTCCGCCCTCCTGCATGGCCACAGTCCTGAGGAAGGCTTCTTGGCCGTCCATGACTTCAGCTAGAGTATCTCTAGCGTCACACCTCAGCTTCCTCACGACTTCGTCCTTGTCCGTATCGTCGTCGGTCTGGAGGTCTTCCAATACATCTGCAAGCGTGGTGAACGTTTGGGAAAGGTTGAATGCGACGTCCATTCGTAGAAGAGGGGAGTTGGTGAGATCGTTCGCTTTCTGATAGAGAGTGATGGACTCGCGGAAAAGAGGCAGGGACGAAGGTGGAAGGAAAAAGTCGGTAGCGAGAGTGTACAGAGCTCGAGCCCTAGCTGAAATGAGCCACGGACGGTCAGAGGGCCGAGCCTGCTCACTTGTTGTACACGGCATCATAGGTCTCTTGTAGCTCTGCGGCCTTGGTGTACAGCTCGATGGCTCTTTCATAGAATCTTTGAGACTGCCGGATGTAAGCTCAGTCTCTGCATTGGAGTGACCCGAATTTCTACGCACTTTCTCACCGTCTCGATAGCGCTCGCCCTTCTCCTCCTGTTCTACGCCACCATCCAAAGCCTCGTCATAGGTATCATAGGTGGGGTTGCGCTTGTTCTTGCCGGCGCGCTTGTTGGGTCTGCGAGCGTCGTCCTCGTTGTGGCGCTTGAGATTTCTCCGGGGGGGCATTGTAGGGAGTGCGTAGGGAACGGAATTGAATGAGGCAGAAGAAAGAGTCCACAAAAACTTGGGTCTGCATCGGATGGCCGGCGACATCTTTATTTCCGCCCGCCGTTATCGTCATCGTTCAACCAGCATTCAACGCTTGTGGCACGCTAGACACTGCCGATCTTTCAAGGGATGATGGTCACCTACAGCACCTCATGAATATCTGCTAGCTGGTTGATACTCATAATTCCGGGTCGAAGACTCACAGGTGGGTGCGGCGGTATAGTCACCACTGACCCCTGCGAGGATGATGGCACAAGATCTCTCAGTATAGGTTCATCTGGTCCGAACGATCCTTCAGTCACGATAAGAGGCGTGGGTATCCACCTCCAGACTGTTCTCTCATCTCTTTTATCGTCGCTTCTCCCTACAGATACATCCGACCGACTGCTGGCAGTCGACGCTTGCGGGTCGTCGCTCGGACTCTCGTCATCATCATCTCGAATCTTACTAGTAGTCCCTGTAGTATCTGCTGTCGAGGAGATGGGCATCCTCTGGTGCTGCTGTGTATCTGCGTCCGGGAGTGACGTATTGATCGAAGCTTCACCATCGTTGCTACTGACAGGATCCGTGGACGGACTACGGTCAGCCCCTCCTTCGATCTGGTCTTGGGGCAGGGCAGCAGAAGAGGACGGAGAGGAAGGTGGTGTGACATCACTCATAGCTGTGGGACTTGGGGCGCTACTGGGTGTTACTGGGGTTGTTTCGTCATCGTTTGTATAGACATGCGTAGAGGCGGGATACGTTGACTGAACAGCTTCCTCGTACGATGCCTCTCCCGAGCAAGCCGCTGGCTGGTCACTAAGAGCGGCTGATGATGAGCGTGAAGAAGGCTTGATCAGGTTGGAATCATACGCGGCTACTACTGGTGGTGGACTCTCAATTGGTAGGCTTGGTGTAGAAAAAGTATCGTGTGTTTGACCTGCCGACTTCATCGACTCATCTGGACCTCCGATCTGTACTGCCGACAATGGCGGCGGCCAATTATTGTCGAGAGCAGTAGAAGAAGGAGGAGGCCGAGGTCTGACCTTGAAAAGATGACGTCTGGGTCTTTTTGGACGACTCTTCAGTCGAGCCTCCTCTGCATCCTCCAGTCGTCTCGCCTCTTCTTCTTCCTCTAACTTTCGCAAACAAGACCTGTACTTTTCATGATCAATCAACCTGGACCTGGCCGCACTTTGTGAGTACCTTGAAGGATTGGCAGTAGAAGCCGATGGGTAGCTATAGCCCATACTGAAGCGTTTGGTAGCCCTGCCTTCTTGCGTATCGTCCCACATGCAGGGTACATCCTTGTCTTCCTGGGGCGGGATGTATTCATTGTGGAAACTCATTGAGGATGTGCCGGTACAGCCGGATGTACCTTTGCGACTGGCCGAACGGCGATACGCTGGAGCAATCAGAGTAGAGATGTCGACTATACATTTCTGAATACCACTACATGTACGGAGACATTCAAGGGACATGAAAGGTGTTTCACCGCTATAAACTTCCCTTTGTGTAAGCTCATGTCAGGCCAATGCGGGCCTCCATGATCGCGATCTTCCTGTGCCCTATATTCCTACGATCCCCACTTGCGGACATCATGATGATGGTTGTTGCTGTCACATGTCTTTCTGTTAAACTTTCCGTCGGATCATGCATTCTCCTACTTGTACTCTTGCCACCATACGTGACGACATTTTTTATTTCTGCCAAAACTACTATAGTGCATAGAATATTGGGTCAAAGAGGACCCCAATCGGCTTCATTGTCAAGCGTAGTACGACAGTCCATCGTCAAACCGAGATCTGCGCCAGTGTGAAATGATCGCCTCACTCAACCTCCCGTCTTCCTCGAACCAGTCCTCTGGAGCAAAATCATCCCGGTGGAGTGATCTGGATGAGCGAGACGCCCATCGCATGGCCTCGTCTGTTGACTGCTGTGTCAATCGGCCTGACTCATCGAACCAATCTTCGCCCACTCTATCTCCTTCGGGAATCGAGAGTGCTCGTACTGTGTGGCTACCGAAGGCCGACTTGCTGCGGCGGGATGTGTCTTCTCGAGACCAAAGTTTCCGTAGCTTGCCAGACCAATGTTTTTTATCGTCAGCAGGCTTCCTGGAGTATTCGCTTCCGGACCAAGACGAAGGTTGATACAACTTGGGCAAGTGAATGCTTTTGAGATGTGCCGTGGCTCCAGACTTGGCAGATTGCCATTTCGATCTCTTCTTGGCACTAGCACCATCCGATGCGATGTCACTTCCAGACCACGAGGACGGCTTGTATCGACTGGGGAGATGGATATTGCTGAGACAGGCAGTAGCCACTGATCGGGCAGACTTCCATAATGATGGTTTGACAGTGTCCTCGGAAAGATATTCGACTGAATTGGTGACGGGGTTCTGCAGAACCCTCGGGCCTTGGTATGAGTCGTCATACCTTCGGCCTAAATGATCTCTTATACTCCCTGGCTGGTGCATTCGTCCACTTTCCCTGGAGACCAGTCTGGAGAAAAGCTTGCTGACGCCATTCGATTTCCTTCCGACGGAATACTGTGAGCTGTCCTCGGCGATTCGCTCGGGAGTGTCCTCCATCGTCCACATACCTAACTGTGGAGTGGAGACATCTACAATGGGTGCATGTTCATAGCGTGTCCCGTGCATTGCAGTGTACACTCCATCGGTAGGTTCGCTGCTTCTGACATGCGGCTGCGCTGGCGTTGCGCGACTCTGCCAAGGTGTGTACGAGCTGAGTTCACTCACTGACGACCATGAATCACCAGTAAAGTCGTCTTCCGTGAGATCAGAAACAAACGATCCGCTTGAATTCCGTCTTGGTATAGTAGCGGCGCTCGCCTGTCCCGATGATCGATTCCAAGGATCGTTGATGGAACTGGCCGATATCGGGCTGACTTCTTCGTGACGTGAAGAGTACACGGGGCCATCATGAGATCGACCGTTGAAGTTGGTGGACTTTGATGGCACAGGATGACTCAGATCATGAACAAAGAAGTCTCCTTCATCATCTCCTCCGGTAGAGAGGAGCGGCCAGTGAGGTTGTTGCAGATAATACGACGTCGAGTGGTAGGACATGCACTCCTCGCTTCTCTTGTTTGCTTAGTGTAGTTGGGGTTCGATATTCATGTAGTGTAGCTTGCTGGCAATGTGTGAGGCAAGTTGTGTAAGCGTAGTAGCGATTGTGACAGGCGGGATGGGGATAGGAAGGATAGTGGCAAAGATACTAGAATACGTCTGGGCCCAATCGTTTTGAGTCTTTCCACCCCCACGAACGCAGTGCTTTGTGGCTCTGCTATACCATCCTTTCTTGTCGAGTCGGGAGATATTCCCATCCACTCGTACAAGAGCTGACATCAAAGGATTGCAACTGGTGACAGCTCATGACGAACAAAGGATGACAGACATCTGCGCCACAGATACATAGCTCGAGGCTGTCTTGGTGTTTCAGCATGTGGCTCATGGGCGCGGTGACTGATCGAGACAAGTGCCAGCCAAGGGAACAGTTATCTGAAGCAACATGCTGGTCCAATTTCGGAAGAGGCGCCGTCTTCCGCTGAGATGAGGTCTGCCTGTCAACTCTTGGCATTGCTGACTTGCGTACACATCGTGTTGGACTATCTACATGCTACCTGTACCTCTGCCCTGTCTACAACATAAACATATTCACCCTGGAGATAAGGGATCAAGAAGAAGAAACCCAACTATGCGTTGGCATACACTCCGAGCCTCTCAAAAGTGTCAATCGTGGCCTGGACAGTCTCTTCGAGTGTACGATCTGCAACGTTTCGTTCATCAGTACACAAGTTCATCAACAGAGGGCAGACTCACACTTGAGCCCAAGCTCCTTCTCGCTCTTACTAGCGTCAATGTCATAAGATCCCGCAGGAGGCTCGTCGAGCCTGTCCTCTTTGGCCTTGTTGAAGAATTTGTCGAGGTCAGGTCTGAGCTTGCGAGCAACGTCGACGATCCGCTTGTTAGTGTACTTCTCGCCAGCGGTGTGGAATCGGCCGTTGACATGGTTGGTGATCGCCAGATAGGTGGCTTCTGCAGTGTCTCGTACCTATTTCAACTGTCAGCGATGGCCCGAGTACAACCTTGAAAAGACTCACGTCGACATAGCGAACTGTAAAGTCGAAAGGGAGCTCAACAGTGGTACCGGAAGCCAAAGTCGCATAGATGGCAGAAGTCGAGATGTCTTGTCCGAAAGAGCCTTGGAGCTCTTTGAGGTCGCCGATTTGATCGGGTGGACCGATGACAGCTAGATCCCATGTAAGTGGACTGAGCTATCCTTGAGAAACACAGGAGCGCACCAGGGGGCAGAATGGTGGCCAGGGTCCATTTGGCGTTGGTGTCCTTTTGCACCTTCCATGCCTCGAGCTCGGCGTACTTTTTGGAGACGGAGTACCACAGACTGGGGTTGTCGCTACTCACATGATCAGTATATCTAGCTGGGATGAGAGCTGAGGGACCCACCTCTTCTTTGCATCCTCTTCAGTAAAAGGGAGCCAATCATCTTCAGTGTAGACCTTGCCGTCGTGGTCTGTGGAGGCCTTGCTAAAGCCATCCAACGAAGCAACCATGGAAGAGAAGACAACAACCGACTTGATGTCTAGACGAGCGTGAGAACCAAATACTATTACATGAGGTGTGGTGCTCACTGGGATTCTTGGATGCAGCCTGAAGCAAGTTGCGAGTACCAGTGACGGCGGGAGCAGCGTACTGTTCATAGTTAGGTAGGGTCAAGTCGAAGGGCGACGCGACGTGGGCAATCTGTACATCATTATGTGAGCTTGTGGGCTGATACAAGGAGACAGTATGACGCACCGCGTTGACATCCTTGAGGAGGGGTGTGTCCCAGTCCCAGTCCGCGTTGACAATGTCGGGGACCACGAGGACTTGCAGCGAGCCGTCGGCGGCATACTTTGTGAGAGCAAGGAGCTCGTTGACTTTGGCCTTCTTGTCTTCTGAGCGGACAGTACCAACGACGTGGTGGCCGCGGGAAAGGAAGGCGACGGCAACATGGACGGCGACGAAGCCGTTGAGACCTGTGACGAGGACAGTGGTGGACATGCTGGATGGAGCTGGGGACTGTGTGGGCAGAGCTGCATGGTGTCGTATATGTATGCACAGGTCGCGGCTTGTGCTTTCATGAACACACGCCGTCGGGCACTCAGGCGCCGTCGGTCATCAGCTCGGCCCAGATTGCCAATTGTCACAACAAGGCTCAGCCGAGGCCAGTCGTGGGCCATATCATCTCGCCCAACGCACCCACGATAGGTTACTATACGAGTGGCATTGCACTACTACAAACATCGAGTAAACGGCCACTGCCTATTTGGGAAACAAGTGAGAATGCATTCATTGGCGCCATATGATCAATATCTACTGAAATCCCTCGACCCACCACCAAAGGGCATTGGCCGTTGCGATTGCCCAGACATGGCACTAGGTATGAATCGATTGTCCGCCGTATATACACCGTAGCCCGGGATCGATGTACCCGGAGGAGGTGGCTGACGCATGAACGGCGGCTCTTGGTCGCTGCGTAGACCTGTTGATCTGTTGTATGACTGGGGCCCAAACGCAGTTCTTGGTGTTGGCGTGCCAAATGATTGTGCAGGTGTTCCACCAAGCCTGACAGGTTGTCGCTGTGGAGGCATGCGCGGATCGTAATAGTCTTCCTCAGTTTCGGCTGTGGTATCTGGTGGGTCGTCTTCCCACGTATCGGAGGAGCGCTGCTGCTGAGGGGTTGAAAAGCTACTTTATTGTCAGATCCAGACATGCTCATTAGTGATATGACAAACCTCTGACGGAATGGCGGACGTGAAAATTGCGATACGTTTGGTCGTGACTGAGGCTGCCCACCGAATTGCGAGAAGCTTGGTCCTGAGGGTTGCCCGAATTGCGAGAAGCTTGGTCCTGAGGGTTTCCGGGATTGCGGAAAGGTCGGTAGTGGGGGTTGAACAAAGCTTGGTCGTGACTGTGGCTGCCAAGAATCATAGTCGTCCGTACCATAGCCGGATTGTGATGGGGGCCCGAAGGGGCTGCTTGGCATGTTACTGGGATACGTGTCGTTCATTTGGGACATTTGAGACATTTGGCTTTCCATTATCACTGCCAGGTATTAGCTCTCTTCAAACAGTGGCGAGGAAAATGACATACTTCTTCTTGCAACCGCTTCACCACGAGCATACAAATTTGTCTCGACTCCAGCCTCGGTAAATCTCTCCCATAGAGTAGGTGGCGCTGGAGGATCACACTGTGGCGTCTCGACAGAAGGTGGCGGGGGCTGAATGTCTAGCCTCGGTAGTCCTAGCATCTCCCTCAGCCTGTCTCGACGGGAAGCCTCAGTGGACGGTGGTGGATACTGGCGCGATTCTGTCCCGTCAGTCGTATCCGCAAAGCTGCTGCCCCTCGATCGACTCCGGCTACGCCCCCTTGACCACGATCTTCTTCTGGACCTCGGCTCTTCCTCCGCGACTTTCGACCGCTCATCGGTAAACCTGCTTCTGCTCCTCCCTTGATTTTCGTGATCACTGTTTTCTTTCGACTTGTTACTTCTCCAAATTTCAACAAGTGGATCATCATCGACGTCTTCGTATCTATTCCGTCTCACGTCAGCAGGAAGGGCGCCGCTCATGAGGTATGGGTCTGGTTTAGGAGAAGATCTGTAGAACCGTCGTTAGCAAAGCCACCACGATCTCGCAAACAGACACTGACTGTGAACGGGAGGGATCAGGGGGTGGTGGATGGTTTGCAAAAGCGGATTTTGGCAGAAAGTCGTCAAATGTGGTCGTACGAGCACTGGACAGCGGCAAGTCAGCTTCAAGACTGTATTCCCTCCCGCGACCAAAGACTCACGTGCTGGCTGAACTTTCTTCAAGACCTCTTCCTCCACTCGCCTCGTATCCTTCCGACCCTTCCCCCCCAGCCCCAACTCTCTCGCTTCGGGCCTCTGCGCTCGGCTCATCATCGCCTCCAATGTCAAAGAGAGAGTCAGTGTCGTCGTGAAAAGTTCTATCAGAGAATTCTTCTGTGACGTCTTCTGCATACGATTGATATGACCGAGGGCCTCTTTGGGTATATGACGGGCCGCTTGGATTGGTGGGAGGCGTTTCTGCGGTCGAGCGTTGTCGTTGCGCGGCGGCCTTCTGAAGGAGCCACTGTTTTGATCTAGATCTTGCAGAGGCAAAGTCACTCGGACGCCCTTCGTATTCTACCTCCAGGCGTGGATTGAAGCTGCTCAGGTCTCGGTGGATCAATTCGACATCGCTTTCGTCTGTATCTGGTGTATCAGATCTGCTGGCACGGACGGGGGAGGGAGATCGAGACCGTGAGCGTGAGCGTTCTGTATACTCCGGGTCATTCAGTGAGCTGTCCTGGGAGTAGTAGCGAGGATGTGGGAGGATTCGCTTAGGGCGGACTGGGTCAATGGGGTCTATGCTTTCGTTGGACATGAGAAGAACGGTGGCAAGAGGGATGCAGAGAGTGCTCTCATACACTTCGCTGTCTTGCGGGGCACGAAAGGAGGAGGCCCCGGCGGCCCGGAGCACACAAAGGGATGATCGATATTACGTAATCAGTGCCTTTTGCGGTAGCCCGACGCGAAGGCTGTTCGGAGAATAATGAGAACAAAAAGAAAGTTGTTCGTCCGAGATGGTTCCTGAGCTTGTTGTACCTGGCAGTCCATTTCTTTTTGTTCTCTTTTCACCAGAGGGATGCACGGCGAACACGGGCTTGCTGTCCCCTAGCCTATATAAACTGTACCTTGCCAACGAACTTTCCCCAGCCCATATATCTATTCTGCCATCAAACCTTCCCCACCCCATATACCTCGCCACTCTCATCACAAACCTTCCCTAGCCCATATATCTACACCGCCATCAAACTTTCCATATATCTCGCCCTCAAACCTCCATTTCCCCACCCCCCACCCACAATGCCGCCCACACAAACCAACCTCGTCCCCCACTACGCTCGACAGTACTCGGGATCCGTGCCCTCATGTGTCGCTACCTGGTCAGTTAAATACCACTGCCTCCTTGACTGCTTCTCTGCTTCAACACAACAACACCGCTTTGCAGTACCACTGACTATCTACAGCATGAGCTCGGGCAACACTACTGGATGCAGCGGTGTCACTGATTATACCTGCGTCTGTGCCTCTACTGCCTATGTCACCTCTGTCAGCGTAAGTCCATATAACTTGCGAGACGGGTCAAGCTGATATCTGGTGTGACAGGAATGCTTCTCAAACTCGTGTACTGCTGCGGAGACTGCCGTCGGCCAAACCTACTCTGAATCTGCCTGTGCCTACTATGTACGTTAAGATCTGTGTTTACGGGCAGCCAGCTGACTCTTACGTAGGGCGTCAGTATCAACGCCACCTCTACATCGTGTGTTACCTTGTCCAGGCACTTTGAAAGTGGCACTGACACGTGATCTAGCACTACTACCGATAACTCTACTGCCACTGCCGAAGTATCCTCGACCGCCTCCGCCGTCCTTTCCGCTCCCGTCACCTACTCTCACGCCTATATCAATATCCAAGCCATCGTACGTCCCCTCGTCACCTCGCATCGCATCCCCTGACTGACCATCACCCAGTTCTCTTCCATCTGCGGCGCCCTCCTCCTCCTCGCCCTCGTCTCTGGTTTCATCTCCTGCCGCGCCCGCTACAGGCGCGAGCGGGCTTTCACCCAGAGCCGCACCTGGACCGGCGTGGGCAGTACCATGGTCGGCGGCAACACCCAAGCCACCGGCGGCGGCAAGAGCAAGATGTTTGCGTCGCGCAATGTTGACCCGACAGCGACCTTTATGAGCGACAACTTTGGGGCTACGAGCTCAAATTTCGGGGGGACGACTGTGAATGGTGGTGGGCAGGGGGTGTCTTTTGGTGGGGCGTTTGGAGCGGCGGGGGCGTATTCTGCTGGACCGTCGTATACCAACGGGAACGGTGGCTTTACCAACCGTCTTCCTGTCGGCGAGGAAGAAGACTCCAAGTCGGAAGGGTACGAATTGGGCGATCTTACCAAGAAGAGCTCTATCCGAGAGAGTATCAAGGAGGAGGAAGAGGGTTTGGACAGCCCTACGACTTCCAAGGGGCCGGGGAGTGAAGTGGACTTGGACGGCAGTACTGTGCATTTGAACAGGCTGAACAAGGACCATGCCTATTGAGCGGTGCGAGTGTTTTTCATAGAAGCAATAGCAAGACTTTTGGGAGTAATTATCAGCAATAATCAACTCGTATATCTAGTCGACTCTGTCTGGGTTCTAATTGTGAATGTATTTTGATTGTCCAATACGTCCAACACGTGAGGAGAATCAGAGCCTGCTCTACAAGTGCGACGTTCAAAATGGTATTCGTTGTATATGCAGATGCGGTGATGCATGATTGTATCTATGCGCTTTGGGTCTCGGCTGTGGCGGCCGGGGATTCAATGTCGTGGGCGACGGCGTAACGATCCTTGATCGTCTGTTCAATCAGGCCCTCTCTTTCCTTGCGCCTCTTCATAATCTCCTTTACAGCAACGCCCTGAGACAGAGTCAGCATCATCCAATACAGCATACGTATGACTTACAGCGTTGGCATGCGTTTGCGACCTCCACCTAGAACCCTTGTAAAACTTGAACAACGCCTTGTCCCTCCAGCTCTCCATGTCGTTGAGACTGTAGTTGGTCTGCAAGTACTCTTTCCTCAATCTGGCCGCCTCTGCACCGCTGCCATACTCTTGCTCCTTGGCGTGGTACTCTTCGACATCATCGGGGTAGTGGAAAGGCTCCTTCAGCCCGACCACCGCCCTCTTGTACGTCTCTGTACCACCACCCTTCCTCACCACCTCTGCCGTCCTCGCTCTGCCCACTTGTCCGAGGTAATTGTCCGTACGGATGAACGTCACCTCGAGGCCGTAGACGGCGTGCAGGTACGAACGGAGATCGGTCTTTGTCATGCCTCGAGGGATCCGGAAAGTGGCGACGAACGGGTCGTAGGCTTCGCCTGGGAGAGTGTGGTTGCGGACAAGGCGGATGACGATATTGGGGAGGTAGATTCTTTGACCGACAATGTCGCTCAATTCTTCTTCCTGTGCCACGGCTTCTTCTCCTTCCGGGCCAGCGATAGCCTGGACGCGCTCCTCAGACAGAGATCTGCCACCCATCTTTCTCAGCAAGAAAGCATGCTTGCTATTCTTGCCTTTAGGGGCATAACCACGGACACGAGATCTCCACTCGCTGGTAGCCGACAAATAAGCAGCTCGCAGCTCGGCATCTGTCCTCGACGAGTCGAATTCTGAGCGCTTCAGAAGAGACCTGTAGTCCTTTTCGAGCGGCAGGGGAAACTTTTTGCCAGAGGCGGGGTCGAGGAGAGCAGCATCGGACAGGGGGGAGGGGGAGGCGAATTTGGAGGGGGGCTGTTCGAGGCGGCGGCGGCGGACTGCGAGGGGGAGGGTGTTGGCGACTGACTGGAAGGGGGCGGGGGCGGAGGACGGCCCCGGGAGGGAGGAGAGGGCGCGGCGGAAGATGCGGGACATGGCGGTGAAGTATAGCCAAGAGGGAGAAATCTCGAAAGTCAGAGGAGAGCGGTTTTTCGGGGATATGGGTGGTGGCGGGTGCTTACGTCATCAACGCGTCTATAGCTGTCAAAACAAATCGACAGTCTTGTCCACCGCACAATGCAGCACCTCGACAACCGCCAGCAGTCGTTCAACCCCGTAGCCAGGCCAAAGAGCAGGGCGAAACCTGCTTTCCCCCTCAGCCCCGCCCGCTACCCCCACCTCACCCCAGACTCCCTCGCACAGGCTGGCTTCTACCACACCCCGGGCGCCACAGAGGGCTCCCTCGACAACTGCAAATGCTTTCTGTGCAATCTCGAGCTGGGAGGATGGGACGAGGAGGATGACCCGTTTGAGGAGCATGCAAAGAGGTCGAACTGTGCGTGGGCAGAGATGGTGTGTGCTGTCAAGGTCGAGAAGAGGAAGAGAGATAGAGACGTCAAGTACGAGTGAGTGCATTTGTCGCATGTGGCGATGCATGCTTATATAAGTAGGACGATATACGAGACAGAGCAGGCCCTGCCCCAATCTGCCGAATCAATACAAGTGAGGATCCAGACGTTCAAGAAATGGTGGCCGTACAAACAAAAGGCGGGCTGGCTGCCCACTGTCAAAGCCGTGCGTCCTGCCACTCTCTTCCATGTGTCTGGCTTATCCCTATGTAGCTCGCTCGTGCAGGTTTCGTGTACAACCCGTCGACTGAATCGACGGATGCTGTCTTCTGTCCCTATTGCGAATATGGTGTTGAAGGATGGGAAGCTACTGATGATCCTTGGTGGGTGACGAGATCCGATAGTGGTCGTGATCTAACACTGTACGCAGGGAAATTCATCAGTCAAAGGTTCCGGACTGTCACTTTTTCCGCGCCGCTCTATCTGGCCAGGCTGAGGAGCCAGTGGTCAGTCGCTCTATACTACTTTAGGAATCACGCTGACGTCTTGCCAGAGCAAAAGCTCCCGTAGCAAAAAGTCCCTCGCCCCTTCGAAACGTAGCAAGCGCGCCACCACAGCCGCTACTGCCCCTTCCGAAGCCGAAGAAACCGACCTCGAGCATACCCAAGTCGATGACGAACCGGCGTCTCAGGCGACCACCGCCAGCAAGAGAGCTGCGAAACCGCGGGCTACGGCTGCTAGCAGATCAAAAGGGACGCGAGGACAGAAAAAGGCTGCTATCGTGGAGTCCGAGGCTGATCCCGAGCCGCAAACACAATCAGAATCTGAAGGCGAGCGGGAGCAGCCAGAGCCAGAGCCACAGAGTGATGTTGAGATGGAGAGCCAGGCTGAAGACCAAGAGCCGACGCCAGTGAAGAAGCCGAAAGGCCGACCAAAGGGTACCAAGGCTACGGAGAAGAAGCCCAAAGCGAGCAAGGCAAAGGGCCGCAGCACCAAGGCTGTAGAGGAAGATGCTCCTATAGAGTCGGAAGCAGAGTCTCATGCTCAACAGACTGAGCCTGAAGAAGAGCCCGAGAATCAAACGACTCCCAAGGCTGCACAGCCGTCTTCACAGTCCCTTCGCTCAAAGACTTCCTCACGCTCCGCCAAGCCACCTTCACAGCCTGCCAAACCCTCTTCCCAACCGCTCGAACCTTCCTCACAGCCCGCCGAACCCTCCTCCCAACGCTCCAAACCACCAATTCAGCCGTCACAACCCACCCGCTCCAAGCCCCTCCCCAATCTCCCCCCATCATCTTTACCTGCATCCGCCAGGTCCCCAACCGCCTCTCCACTTCCCCTCTCCCAGCTCCACCGCTTTGCCAACATCCCACCCTCTTCCCCTGTCGTTACCCCGAGAAACATAGCTACCCTGCGGACAGGCCAGCCCTCTTCGAGGATTTCGCCTCACGTGCCTCTGAACAGGTCAGACCAGGACGCCAGTATCGAGCGGGGTGCTCAATCGGCGCACCAAGTGATGGACGATCTGCTCCACTCGCCCGCGCTCGCTTCTCCTGCCAAGCGCACCGCCCAGGCATCCAGGTCACCCCTCGCTGCCGCAGAACCGCAGGAGCCGGGGCAGCTACCAGATGAGATCATGGACATGACGCTGGAGGATCTGGTGAGGGCAGAGATGAAGAAGGCCTACGAAAAGCTGAGGAATGAAGGAGAGGCAAAAATTGAACAGTGGGCAAAGAGAGCTGCAGGCGAGAGGGAAAAGATTGAGGCATTGTAGATCGTCGTTGGTATGCACTCTGTAGCCCCTGTTCCTCAACTTGTCCCTATGTGCCCATTACACGGCGCGATGACTGTATGAGGATGGCCTGCCTGGTGCTGTACCACTCCTGAATCTCGCTATACACGGTTTAGCCGCGCTGCCATACACACCCCTTCCACCTACCTGGCGGACTTGGCCAGGTCTCCTGGAAAAGGATGGTAACTTGGCATCATGCGCAATGACAGGCAAGTCTCTCAAGACTTTAGGCTTGGTCATGGGGCAAGTCAGTGTCCTGGTCCCTCAACTCTGACTCAGTTTCAGTCCTCTTCTCTTGCACACTCATCCACATTCGACGCGTCTGTATGTGACAAAGGGAGGCATTTCTTGTTCTTCACATATAGGTCAATAAGTCCCGACTCTGATGATGCAGCAGACACCATACATAGCATACACTGTTCGTTTCACAGGAGCAATATACGTCTCCAAACTCAATCAAAACTCGAAGAAATCGGGCATCTTTTTTATAATTACAAAGAAAACATACCGGGAGATCTTGCGCGTTAGCCAACGACGACACACTGTTTTGCATGACTCACCACAGCCACCGTTCCGCTCACTAGCCTCTGCAGGTTGAGGAGGACGTAAGGGATCTTGCTAAAGAACTCTATAAAGTGGAATTTGAATTTACCCATCCCATATACACTCAGACTCCCTTCGTCTCGGTCGGGGAACTGGTTGGTGCCTCCTCCGACTCTAGTCATAGGAGTTCCTGTAGCTTCGAGGAAGTGGGAGTTCCAGGATCTGACGACCTGAAGGCGCAGAAGCTTGGAAGATTCGGGGCTTCGAGCCGTAGAAAATTGCAGTCGCCAACAAAGTGAAGCCGATGGCACTCCTGCGATTGGTGTGAGAAGGTAAATCGCTAAAGCACACTGATACACTCACCACTTGTGGGCCATGCTGGACTCTCCCTGCTTTGCCGACAAGATCCAGGACAGCAGTAGGCCCAAATTGCCACAGAAGAAAATCAACAACCCCAGGTCTACCGGGGAGGAGGTGAGCTTAGACTACCGCATAACACTGCGGGCGCTTACAAAGACTGAGGTCCAACCGACGCCAAAAGTTGTCGATATGGGCGAAAGCCCTCACCACGTCCCGCTTCTTCAAGTCGGAGTGGCTTGGCGAGGAAGTCGCAAGGGGATCGATACTGACCGGCTGGTCCGTGGTAGGGTTGTCGATGGTGACCGACTGGTCCGGAGGGGTCTGCATGGCGAGGTTTGAGGTACTGACCGGCTGGTCCGTGGTAGGGTTGTCGATGGTGACCGGCTGGTCCGGAGGGGTCTGCATGGCGAGGTTTGAGGGGAGGTGGACGAGAGCAGAGTATAGAGAGGGGTAAAGAGTGCGGAGTGTGATAGAGTGTGGGGGGAGAACAACGATGGGGAAGACAAAAGTGAAATGATGAAGGTGAGAGGCGGAGCGAGTAGGTGGTGAGGATCATATTCGGACCCGTGCCTTGGAATGTTTGATCACATTCCAGTCACACTCCCACAATCTCACCGGGATCCTTCCTTACCCCTCGTGGAGACCCGGCCACTCATGAATATCATCTCCTTGGGCAGTACATGTGCGGGGAAGAAAATGCTTCTGAGCAGCCACTGGAGTAGTCGAACAACACCACCAGTACACTCCGGCGGCTAAGTTCGGGGATAAAGTGGCACGCCGAGCGGGGTGGTCGTCGGAAGCCCGAGCTCCGGCCCACGCCGCCTGGCTCACAATCACCGATACACTGCAGCCCTTCCTGCACCAGCGTCAGCACAAGGCTCGTGACGGGTACGTCCAACTAGATGACTCAAGAGAGATCCCATCCATCGAGCTGATTGCAGCTTCGTTGTTCTCGGAGAAGTGATATCTATCCCTAGGTACAAGGTACATATCTCTATGCATGGTATTCCGGTCCAAATCCGCCAAACGCCCCCAATGGACAGTTGGGGACGAAAATCCGGCCCGTCCACGTGCCCCCCTTTCTCAGACTCGATGGAGGATTGATATAGAAGAGATACTGCTCTAAAAGAAAGTCACTGCGAGAGATGAAATGTGATGGCTGAGTGTTCCCCGCGCGTACCAACGAAACCTTCATATCAATCCACATAGACCAGCTCTAGCTGGTTTGAAGGCAAGTCATGTTTGGCCTCATGTCCATTTAGTTCCTTTGTACAGTCCTCGAACAATTGATGCCACTCTGCGAACAACGGCGAGTCTCTGGTGACATGTTTCACCAGCAGGATCCAGCCATATCCGATATGGGATTCAGAGGTTGGATGACCGGCCTGGCGCAATGCCTGTGTAGTTTCAAACCCATTTGCAAGCAAGCTGAAGAAATGGGCAGTACTGGTCCTGTCGGACGACGTGAAAAGATTGAGGTTTGGAGCATGCTGCTCCCAAGTAGCTGGCATGTAGCCTTTCTCTTCCCATGAGTACAAAGCATGAAGGACCTTGGAAAGTTCCCGAGCACCTTCGGTACACTGTAGGAGTCTCAGACAGTGTTATTACCAGCTCGGTATAGAGACTCACATTTCTCCATTCTTGGAAGAGCAACCTCCACCACTTCTTCGAGAAGTCGTTAGTCGGAGCATTGAAGAAAGTACCCCAACTTGGGACCTCTGTGTCAATCGCCCGAGCCTTCTGTGCTACCAGTTTGGGCGGCGCTTTACTCAACCACTCGAGGATATGAACCATGTCCATACACGCCAGCCATGCTTTACAAGCCTCTTGCCGGCTGATCTGTTAAACATGGCGGTGAGTTATTATGCAATCCCCTTAACGAAACGTATCCCATCTATCTTACCTTGATATGTTCGTGCGCAAACTCTGTGAAGTAGTGGCTCTTGAGACCATTCCTGAGCGTATACGGCTCAAACGAGAGAGGCTTTCTTTGCACCTTTTGAAGGGGTTTTTCGCTCTGCACGCACTTTTCCAAAGCAAAATGATATGCGTTTGGATAGTACAAGAAAAATGGGTTTGTACTCAAGATATGCGGAAGGAGCTCCCGCTCAGGATTTGCTGCTTGATAGGAGGGCGGCAGGCTGCCGTCATCACCATGAAAACCAGAAGGACTGTCGGGCATATTTCCTGTCTCTGATGGTACTACAAGTACAAGGGTCGTGGGGGATGAGATCAAGAAGGAGGATGGTTTGAGTTCTCTATCATGTACGGCACGAACTCCAGTGCGGAAACTTATGTATGGACTGGATCAGTCAGTTTCCGCCTCGTGAACCGTGACCACTGAGTTGCGTCATACTGCACATGCGCCCATACTGACTTGTAAAATGTCCGGTCGGCTCAAGCATCTCCTTCTTACAATACATATGTACTACTGATCTATTACTTGCTTTCTTACGGGGCGTTCCCGGAACGGGGATTCTGTGAGCCGCATTGCATATACTTACGCACGGGCAGGACAGTATAAGTCCGCGCTCGATACTACGTCGTGGCGGGTTCCTCACAACAAAGAGACAATACTGGAAGGCATACTCTCTATGGCACCTTGGGCGTTGAGATCTCTCGCACAGAGCTCAAACAATTGTCGCCAAGATGAAAACATCGTGGAATCTCTGACATGTCTCACGAGCAGGATCCAACCATAACCCATATTCGATTTGGTGGCAAGATGAGAAGTCTGGTGCCCTGCTGCTGGGTTTGTGTTTTCAAACCCATTGAGGAGCAGGCTGAAGAAATGATCTCTGCTGGTTCTGGCACAGAGAGAAGACTCCCTGGCAGTGAGGACATGTTGCTCCCATTGCGCGGGAATGGTGCAGCTCCCTTCCCATGAATACAGGATATGAAGAGCTCGCGAAAGCTCACGTGCTCCTTCCGTACACTGAAAGGGGTCTTTAACAGGCATGGCCATATGTAAATTGAGCGGAAGAAGAGCTTACATCTTTCCATTCTCTGAAGAGGAGACTCCACCACAACTTTGAGAAGTCGGTAGACGAAGACTTGAAGACAATACCCCAACATGGGGCATACTGGTCCATCGCCCGAGCCTTCTGGGCTACCAGCTTGGGCGGTGCTTTACTCAACCACTCGAGGATATGCACCATGTCGATACACGCCAGCCATGCTTTACAAGCCTCTTGCCGGCTGACCTGATAAACATGGCGGCGGTGAGGTATTATGCAATCCTTTTAACAAAAGGTATCCCATTTATCTTACCTTGATATGTTCGTGCGCAAACTCTGTGAAGTAGTGGCTCTTGAGACCATTCCTGCGCGTACACGGCTCAAACGAGATTGGCTTGCTTTTCGCCTTTTGAAGGGTTTTTCCGCTCTGCACGCACTTTTCCATAGCGGAATGATATGCGTTTGGATAGTACAAGAAAAATGGGTTTGTACTCAATATATGCGGAAGGAGCTCTCGCTCAGGATTGGCTGCTTGATAGGAGGGCGGCAGGCTGTCGTCATCACCATGAAAACCAGAAAGATTGTTGGGCATATTTTCTGATTTCGATGGTACCACAAGGGTCTTGAGTCGAAATTTCATGAGTGGAGGATGGCGAAGGTCCAAGGCTGAGATCAAGAAGGAGGATGTTTTGAGTTCTCTACCATGTGCGGAAACTTATGTATCAGTTCGTTCCCGCCTCGTGAACCGCGACCACTGACTTGCACAGGCGCGTGCGGAATACTGTAGATGCGGGAGGGGCCTCGGCACAGGGCTTGTTGTTGCTTGGTATGGGGGCGGCAGTCTGCTGTCATCATGACAATCGACAGAGTTGCTACCCTCTTTTGGATCGAGGGTTTGACGCGGAGCTTTCATGTTGGTGGGAGGCGATGACAGTCCCGCTAATACTAGCTCTTGGGGGTCAAGTGCAGGGACAATATGCGATGGAACAGAAATGCGGGATAGTACAATAGAGCCAGTTGATTGGTAATATGATCTTCGGCTGAATGCATATGAGTCGTCACATATTGTGTACTACTTGAAGAGACCCAGTGACCAAATTACAGGCATCAAACATCGTCGTATGTACTACACAAGCACGCATACCCTGACAAGGCGAGAAGCAGTGTCTCATCCTTACCACGGTACGTGTACAGATGCATGGCACGATGACAAGACTCCTTTCAAATTATATCACAATAAGACTGGCCGCATCAGCCACTCGGGCTTGCTTGGCCTTGCAAGATAAGCCGCCCGTGCCCGATTCGAAGTCGCTTCAACAGCAAGCGCCTGCGAGTTCTTGGCAGTCACAAACAGCGTAGTCGTGCTGGTGACCTCTCCTTGACCAACGGTCACGGTCGCCCTAGATGAGCCGGTGATGGAGGCTTCGAGGGAAGAGGCAGAGTCGGATCCGGTAGCAATCAGGGCGATACCGCCATCTCCCCCACTTTGAGTAGTATGGTGCCCGCCACGGGAATGAGAGCTGGTAGACGCTTCGTCTTCTTCTTCGGAAGAGGCTGAGGATGACGCGGTGGGAGACTCGCCAGAGGACTCAGTGGTCGAGAGGGAAGTGGTCAAAGAAAGGGCGGTAGACGCGGCGATGGAAGATGTGGTGAGAGATATAGTGGGAGTGGAGTCGCTTGAAGAAACGTTGGAAGAGGCAGAGGAAGAGCGAGTAGCAGTAGAAGTGGCGGAGAGGGCTGAAGAAGAAGACAGTGCGGTGTTATTGTCTTCACCAGAAGGGCCCTCTGCTACTACACCTTTCCTACGCGAAGTGTCAGCGACTCGATTTACAGCTATCGACGGATCGAACTAACTTGGCAGGAGTGCCAAAGATAGGCCCCTTAGTAGCAAACTGCGACACGTCCACCTTTTCGACGAACGTCTGACGGTCCACGCCACAAGACCCGTTGGCATTGGTCACGGCATGGTAGACATTCCATAGCTCTGTACCGTCAGGCGAGGTGAAGATACTATCCAGTGTCAGCTGGGAATCGGTCAACGTCGTGGGTATTGGTCACTCACCCGTTGTGGCCAGGGCCATACTCGCCGTTACCAGACGAGAAGACGGGACCGTCGGTCTTTTTAGACCAAGCAGCGGGGTCCATGGGGTCATCCCCAATGAGATGAAGCTGTGACGGGTCAGCTTGAGCACTTTTTACGAGTGCTGAGTACGTACCAGACCCAGACTGTAGTCTGGCTTGGTGCAGTAGCTCGCCGAGTACGTGACATAGATCTCCCCATCCCAATACAAAGGCTGCGCACCCTCGTTGACATGCCCGCCGACCTGCTCCCAAGCCTCAGTGGGTCGGCTGATGACAGAGATCTCGTCCTTGTTGATGGAAGTGGGTGTGGTGAAGTGAGAGATGCACATGGAAGAGCCGGCGATGGTGTTGTTCGAGACGTCCGTCGAGTGGCAGGCCCAGAGTAAATAGTTGGTGTCGTTGTGGACGAGGACGGTGTTGTCGATACTGGGTATGCGTAAGCTTCAGCCATGGAGTCGTTGTGGATGTTCGCTCACCCGAAATGGTCGTACAGCTGTACGGGATCGGCGTACTCGTCTAGGGGCTGCTCAATAGGTTAACACATCCCATCGACCTCGCCGTTTCACTTACATTATCTCCTCCCTTGATAGCCCAGATACTCTCCTTGTGGGAGTAGTAGATGTGCCATGCACCGTCGACCTTGTGGAGTTCTGAAACATGTACGTCAGTGGTAACAATGAGAGCAGTTTCTATACTCACCACCGGCCCAGACGGTAGTCTGGTTCTTCATATCGGCGTTGGTGTAGACCTGCGTGTCAGTACCATTGTGAAGATCACTGTGCACTGTCAGCTCTGTCTTTGGAGTGGTATACATTCAGACATACCCGATGGTAGGAGAAGAGACAAGCCTCAAGTCAGAACCCGTGGTGGTCATAAGGTAATAGCTCCTGCACCTTCCTGTCAGTCCCTGAGTGCCCGACGGGCATCTCCTCGTCCCACGTACGAAGTGTCTTTGTCCCAAACTGGAAAGGCATCAGCAATCAACAACCACGCAAAGGAGTCCCATCCACTTGGCAAAGGGCTCACCAATGAAAGGATCAGGCCCACTGTCGCTAGAAGACGGAGAACAAAGGTAAGCCATGTTTCTAGGCTCTGGTCCAGAAACTTTGAGAGATGTGCGGGGGAGACTGAAGAGTGGGATAGGTAACTCACCGGATGGGCTGCGATATTGCGTTAGCGTCATCAATGAATCATATGGGTAGCTTTCTGTATGACTCACGTTGGAGAACTCGGCTGCGCTGGCAAGACCGACGGCGGCCAAGACAATGGGAAGCATCAACATATCGGAAATGGATCGGGTTATGATGTGACCTGAGAGGTGAAAGAGTTGAGAGGAACGATAGGGAAGGGCTCTAGAGAGAGTCGGAAGTCAAACGAGTGTGGGTGGTCGGCCTGAAGCTGGTCGAAGCTAAAGTCTGCGAAAGAAAATAAAGAAGGCTATGCAAAAGTATAAGTGATTTCTGATGTAAAATTCGTGTCAGACGGCCGAGATCTCTCGTCGCCCTTAAATACAAGCTGGGGACAAGAGCATAGTGAATAAGCGCATGGCCTGCCCTGTTTGAGCCCCTTGAGAATGACTACCTCGGCGCTTTGGTATCTCCTTTGGCAAGTGTCAATCTGCAGGAACAAGGAGGACAATCCTCGGTCAGCGAGTCTTTGGTCTTGACCATGCCTGCAGCCAAGGAGAGGCTGACTAAACGTACGATTGGGGTCCGACTTTGAAGTGATCGTTTGATAGGGGAGATGTCACATAGGCGCATGGGCCGTATGTCAGTAGTAGTGGCCACGAGAGTGGGGCGTTGAGCTGCGCTGCCGACTCGTCCCTCTCCGGACGCTTTCCCCTCTAGCTTGGAGGTCAGCACCTTCACCGCAAATGAGCATCCGCACAGGGACATGATAACCATGCACAGTATACACACACTGTCCTCCCGCCTCCTCATGATCAGGGTCTTTGTGTGAGTGGGTGTTCAGCGCGTACGTGTCAGGAATTGATGGACAGTTGTCGAGACTCGGTGCCGAGGGTGAGCTGTCAGAAATCCAGCTGTAATATAGACATGAAGAGAAAGGGAGAACATTAGATAGAGGTGAGTGTCGCCAGCGTACGTATGATCCAGAAAAGGAAAGGAAACGCTAGGCTCGTAACACGTCGTCGGAGCGAGGGGCTTGTGTCGAGCCTACGCCGAGCCTGAGGAAACGCGATGGACAGACAGACGTCACCCACGTGGTTCCGGCGCCGATCCGTGGCACTTCTTTCAACCATGCAACATCCCAACATCTCTCGTAATGTCAGCGTGCAGTACTCAAGGACCTCAAACAGCCGTCAGAATATCAAGACCCCTATAGGTACATATTGCCAGAAGCTAGTCAAATCTCTATTATAAAACCTGGTCCGGTGGCCCACACGACACTTTGACAATAAAGCTCATCAAACTACTTCTTTGTGCTGAGGCTCCTCGGCCTTCTCTACATGCTGCAGACTGTCCTTCCTATCCAGGTCAAGCTCCCTGGCATTCTGCTTCCTCTTGGTCTCGACGAGATCCTCGGGAGCATCTTGTCCAACCCCTTGCTCGATAGCGACTCTTGCCTTTTCGAAATGACTACCATCACTCTCTGGTCCGAGAATGACGACGATCATGCCGTACCCGATGACAACGCCGATAAGGATACCCATAACGGCGGCATAGTCGGGGGTGGAGGTGCCCTTGAGCTTGAGAGTCTTGCCCGCGGTGGCTTCGATTTGGGCGGAACCGGCAGAAGCCATGTTACCGAGTTGGTAGGCTGAGGGCAAGAATCAGCTTCAAATTCCTTTAGTGGAGGAGAGGACGTACTGAGACCACCGAAGAGAGCACGGAAGGCAGGGGGAGAGATTTCACCCAGGTAGACGGGTACGATACCCCACGCGCCCTGGACACCACTTTGAATGAAGCTTTGTTCACGTCAGCAGATCTCCTAAGCAGAGTGCAAGATGAGCTTACAATCCACCGGCAGCAAGGCCTCCGAAGCTGTTCGGCAAGATCCAGAGGGGAATCCAGCAAGCCTGATGAGGTGTTGTAGTCAGCTTCAAGGAGAGGGCACTGGTGTCGAGGTACTGACTGTCCAGATGCAGCAGGCAAGAATGGCAAATCGTCGCCCGAGGAATTGCGAGCACCATCCGGCCAGAGTACCGCCGACTATTGCACCACAGCTAGATACACCGCGTCAGAACGAATCCTTGATATAGTAGTGGGAACGCACTTGGAGATGATAGTGGCCTTCGAAGCAAGTTTACCAGAGAAACCTTTGGTGGTTTTGAGGTAGGTAGGGAAAAGGTCTTGGGAACCGTGAGAGAAGAAGTTCTGAAACATATCAGCATTGGTTGATCACTTCAGCTCGAGAACTCACAAAGAATGTCATCAGAAGGACCCCCCAAACCCATCGCACCCCTAGCTACGTCAGTCCAACGTCGTATCATGTGTGACACTACTCACAATTGGTCCTAAACATGTTGCCCAACTCCCTGACAAAGGTCTTGCTCGCCTGCTTACTGCTGATCCCTTTCTCCTTTGCTTCCTTCCTGGCCTGGATGAACTGCTCCGACTCGGGCAAGCATGCTCGGATGATGGCAGCGAGGAGGGAAAAGCCTGCACCGAAGAAATAGATGGATCTCCAGTGGTACTTTGAGGTCTCAACAACCGTCAGGTTGATGACTGGAAAGAGAGCCAAGTCAGCGAAGAAAGACGAAAAGGAGGGAGGAGGACATACCAGCAGCAAGAAGGTATCCTACGGCATATCCCTGTTGAAGGATACCGCTGCAGAGACCTCGGGCGATAGGCGGGACGTTCTCAAGGCCAGTAGCGGCTGCAGTTCCCCAGATACCACCCATTGCGATGCCAAACAGAGACCTGATGGGTAACGTAAGGCTTGCACAAAGCAGCAGGCGCAAAGATGCTCACCTGACAGCCAAAAATTGCTTGTACGTGTTGACGAATCCACTTCCCAATTCGAAAACCATGATCAACAGGCAGTTAACGACCAGTGTCCACTTTCTACCATAACGGTCGGCACAGAGGCCAATAATGACGGCCCCAAGGGACCTGAACAGCAGGGTGAGTGTGATCGAAGTCGTGATGGACGAGGGAGAGACGCCAAATTGCTCCGCGAGGTCATCCTGTCCGCTCCGTCAGCCCGCAACCTCGAGATTGACTCGACTTGCCCGCTGAAAGCTGCAGAGAACTTACCAGGGTCAATGACACACAAAAAAAGTCGTACCCGTCCACAGTCCAGGCGAGCCATCCCTGTACACCGTAAGCTCGTCGTGTAATGTTCGGATGGATACTGTTCGGACGTACAGAGAAGAATAGCAGCCAGGCAAAAGGCGGAACGGCTGCGAGCTGCTTGAAGGGGTTCTTTGTCTCTGGCTCTTCGCCGCCGACGGGCTGCCTGATGGAGGGGAACATGCAGCGGACAAAAGATCTGCCTGCCCTGTTCGCATGCCAGCCTCTGAGCTGGTCGCGGATGGAGGCAGAGCGTTTGCGTTCTGGGATATGGTCCGATTCTGTGCTCATGGAGCGGTTGAGGGACATGGTGGAGATGGGGATGGGGGAAGGGGGAGATGGGAAGGGGTAGATATACTTCGGAGATGTGTTGGCTGAGCGTGTCATGTGGCGCGCAGAGATAAGTGATTGCTAATCACTGCAGAATCATTTTCGAAGAACCCAACCCCGGGTACACTAGTGCCGGTGTCTTATCTCTGTGCCTGGCGCGGGCTAACTGCTTTGGGCTATTCTGGGGCCTCTGGAGTCTGGGGTGCGGAGCCCATGCGGGGCCTCGGGCCGATCCCGATGGATGCGCTTGGCTTGGCCAGAATTGACCGTGATATTCGAATTCGAATTCGTATATCTCGTCATCATCTCTGCTGTCTCTCTCACGTCGTCTTCGATGTGAGGTGTAAGAACATCTCACTGTGCCGTCGATACACTTGTCACAACGATACAGCAATCACGCACTTTGTCTAGACGCCGCCGCTCAGAAGCTCGCCAGAGATCGGAGCCGACATAGCAGTCGTCCACTCGACTGCACCCTGTTCTCGGTATAATCATCCAGTTTTTCAGCCAAGCAGTTGGTACTCACCGGCCCAAGTGACCCCGCGACCAAATTCGAAATCATGAGCAATAGCAAGCCAAATCAATCAACAAGAAGTGAATGGTACTCGTACAGTACTCGTACAGACCCCGCGACCCCTGGCGAATAATGCGCTATGCTACATGCAATCATCCTCTATCATACAAACGCTACACTGCAAGATCCAAGATTATTACCGACAAGATCGACAAGAACCCAGGATGCACTCCTCTAATCCACCCAGCTCACATTCGTCCTCTCCCAATCCACTCCCTCAATCTCTCCTCCCCACCGTTTCTCCATCCATGCCCCAAATTTGTGTCTCGCCTGATCAGAGCTCCTATCCGACTGGTCATCGTTCACACAAAGCATTGCCAGTTCGGGTGTACTGTCTACTTGTTCGAGCGCTTTGGTGAGCGCATAGACGGTGCTAACGGGAGAAAATCGGGCTGGTGTCGAACCTGATCACGTCAGATTGACACGTGCTTTGCAAGGAAGAGCTTACCATAGACATAATTGTACCTCGAGAGCAGTTTGATGGTCCAAGCCTTCAGGCTCACACCTCCGTCCGCCCGGGATTCCGATTCCTCCCATACATCCTGCCCCGCCTTGACGTTGGCAGCCACAGTAAAGTCTGCTTCAAGCCATTTGTCAACGAGCGGGAGCATCGGTTCACTCCGCCTCCACCGCCCTTCCTCCTTCTCCTCTGCGGGGTAGAAGATTTGGCGCTCATCAGGGATGATGGCAGACAAACCACGTTTGCCTGAGGCCGACACCAAAGCGTCGATGAGGCAGTCGCCGCATTCGGCGTGCTGGAAGGCGATGTGGGTAAACAAGTCGGTGGCTGCGAACGTGGTGGAAGAGTCGAAAAAGGTGTCGGGAAGACAAACGTTGAAGGTAAAGGGACACGACTCGACAGGGCTATCGGGATTGGCAGGCATGTGACCATCCATCGACGCTACAGATGTGTTAGCATGGACATACCCGTAGATGAAGCTACGCACAGAATCGGTATTCCGTAGCCTTGGGCCCTTCCCAGCCAGCTTGCCCCATCAGGCCATCCATGTCATTCAACGACTCTCTGCTGCGCCTACTGATCTGCACCTGGCCCTTGTCCGCGCCCTCTCCCTTGGCCATACCAAGAACACTCCTCAACTCATCCTTCTGCTCTTCACCCCAAACACCCTCAACACCCCCCACTTTCGCCACAATCCAACTCCAAAGCACCGCCTCTCTCCACCTCTCCACCCTCAAGTGCGTAATCAACCACGCCATCTCCACATCCCCTTCTCCCCTTCTACTCGCTCTGAACCCTCGACTACTCGCCGTACTAAGCTGCGGCGCCCACATGACGGACGCTTCGTGTAAGAGGGCACGAGATTGAGTCTTGGGGAGGTGGTGCATGTAGAAGCGTTTGCGAGGGAAGAAGCGACCGGCGAGGAGTGCGTTGGCGTGCTGAAGGGCGCCCCACTCGCCGGGGTCGGTGAGCTGTTTCTCGGTCATGTATAGGTCGACGAGCAGGCCGGGGTCAAAGCGGACCAGGTTACCGAGGAGGGGGTGGCGAAAGTCGGAGGTGGAAAGAGAGCGGAGGAGGAACATGTCGTCGTTGAATGCGACACTACAAGAGTCAGCGCGGTCAGACATACAAGTTGCACTCCATACAAGTTTTCCGAGAGACCTTCGATCCAGGCCAATCGTTGCTCGATCGAGAACGAGTTGAAGCTGGGCAGCGTCTCTTCTCTCCATGCCGCCTCACTCTCCCAAGTCTCTCTTGCAACTACATCTTCCCCGTTGTTCTGCGCCTCCATTGCCTCTTGTTTCTCCTTCAACGACGCCCCCCGCTCCAAGTCTACCCAATCGCCGTCCTTTGGCAACTGAAAGACGTCCGAGTGGAAATGCCACTTGAGCCGTCCCTCCTTTTCTTGACTTGACCAGTTGAGCCATTCAGCGATCTGACCAATTCTCCACTGTCCGGGCTGAACACCCATATCAATCAACTCGGTATCGTTCTCGCGCACATCCCAGTCGGCGGTGACAACGTGGATCCGGCCAGCTTCGTCTCCCAGAGCAGAAACGCCCGAGCGCACAGCAGCACGCAGCTCTCCATTATCCCGCCAATGCCGCGCGACCTTGTTTCTCCCCGAGCTGAGCCCCTCTTCTTCGTGGCGTGCTTCAAATTCACGGAACCAGTACGGCGAAGAAGCATTGACAAAAAGGTATACCAGATCGAGTGGGTGCTGGGGAGGAGCATTGGAGCTGTCTACCGAGGACGGCAGCTTGCCGTTGACGAAATATTCTGCGAGGATGGGATATGGTAGTCTATCGTGGAGGGGTTCGAGAAGTGGTATTGAGGGAGCGTCGTGCTTGGGAATAAGGACGTGAGTCGGGTCGTAATCGAGAGCGATGGTATTTTCTTTCCAGTTCTCACTGTCAAAGTCTCCTATTGGTATGGAGAGGTTGACAGAGGCAGAGTTTGGCGCTTCTTCTGATGGTTCATCGGGTAATAGCTCGCCCATGAAAAAGTAGGTCGTCACTAGTATGCCCGCCACCACGGCGACTGCGCCCAAAGAGAGTAGGTATGGCCGTACTCTTCTAGAGCTGTCGTCTGAGGACCTCTTTCTTGCACTCTTGCCGAAAGGCAGCAAGTTCGATGGAAGAAGCGAGTTCTCCTCCTCTTTGGGGTCAAACTCTTCGAGTTCATAGTCTTCGCCATTGTTTTCCCACTCCCGCTGCGACTCGGGGTCGATTGAGCGATGGTGGCTGTCCTCATGCGAGGGTAGCAGTCGACTCGAGCCAGCCACGGGGCTATTGGAGGAGGAAGATGGAGCGGTGGAGATGCGGGACATGGCGAAATAAATGACGATATCGGCTCAGCAGGGTGTGGTCTAGGTGGCAAAGAAAGCAGAGTACTGAAGTTCGTGATTTGTGACCTATGGGAAGCACAGCACACGATGCAATGCGCAAACTTGCAGTCGCAGTTCTAATTTCGGGAGACTGCGCAGGTCACCCGGGCAATGGGCGAGGCTGGCGGGCGAGGCGGAAAGCGAGATGGAATTCCGTGAGGGATGTTACTCCTTTGTCGTGCTGCAGATGGGATCGCGACGAAGAATTCGCTCTCTTGCCTCGTCGTGTGCACTCGTCGGCCGCTCGACGTCGCTGCGGCGAAAAATAGACGGGACGAGACAACAATCCACCCTAAATCTCCTTATCGCGTCACTCAGGCACACCCCCAGAGCTTGAGCTTGCACGACGCGACGCGTTCGATACTCTATCTGTTACATACATGTTCAGTGCCAGAGTCTATATGGAATGCTATCTACTATTGCTGGAAACTACTACCCAATTATGCCACAACCTCAGAAAGAATGCGCCAAGAATCACAACACCCTACAACCACTAGTAACGTCATCAGCACAGGTGTCACACGACACACCAGGTACTCACCTCCTAGCCTCCTACTCCTGCGACTGAGACACCCTCGTCATCCACTGCCTCAACGTATCCGCCAACACCCCAGGCAGAGCCTCAACATCTCGCAACACCACATAGAATTCGAAGGGGAAAGTGTCGAGATACCTCTGCATCTCGAGCTTCATCGCCCCGCCGACGTTCTTGTACTCGACTGTCTGCATGGATAGGATGCTCGGCCGTGTGGAGGAAGCCGGCCCGGCAGAAGCAGTCGCCGGAGCAGTTTGCTGCAGCGAGTCGACAATGATGAAGACGATCATGACTCGCTCTTCGAGCGCTTTTCGCAAGAGCCGCCTGAGACGAGCATGGTCTTGGCAGACTCCGTCAGAGATGATGATTTGCAGCTGCCACAGGTCGGGAGCACTAGCGCTCTGGGCAGGACCGTGTCTGGCCTCACTCAGATAGCTGAGCGTTCTCTCGACCAGACTGGCAACATCGGTCTTTTGCTGATCAAACTTGAAGCTTGACATGACCTTGGCACCGTCGGCGTCTGTAAAGCCGCCCTCCTTGAAGGGGTGCAAAATGTCCACAGACTCTCCAAACTTGGCGATGCTGACCTGACCGACCTCAAGTTTGTTCATAGCCTGGGAGACCAAAGCAAGCGTCTGGTAGGCAAGGTCGACAGAGTGCGACTCGGACATGGAGCGCGAGTCGTCAAGACTGAGAAGCACTTGGTATTCTCGTCGCGAGGGCTTGGTTCGCCTTAACCAGATCTTGTCCTTGGTGTATTCGGACGCAATGTAGGGAATGATCTTTCTCATGTTGAGCCGTTTACCAGTCCGGAAGTCGCCTTGAAGTCGGGTAGCGAGAGTTGGTTCGAGAATCAGGCGAAGTTGCTCGCAAAGAGCGTAAGAGAGATCGCTAGTGAGGGAGGCGTAGCGGCGCCAGATGTCTTCGGCGGTCGCAACTTGGCCGGCGACAGGAGTGGGGTCCACAATGTGGAGTTCAATCTCATCCTCCTCGTCAATAGACGCCCTTTCGCCTTCCACGCCGCCCTCGAAATCGTCCAGATCAACTTCCATCGCATCGTCGCCAACATCACCAGAAGGCTTGCCGCCGATATCCGCCTGCGTGAGAGCCTTTTCGGTCTGCTCTCGCTCGGCATCGGGTTCTCCTCGAGTTTGGTGGTTAGATTCGGCATGCTTCTGGGGCCTTTCCTGCCCCTGCGAGTCCTCCCCTTCTTCAGGATTGTCCTCCATAGCAGGCATCTCTTCCCCTCGGTCTTCCTCATCGACGATTTGGAGATCCTCAAGCTTCTGCCTCTCCTCGTCTCCAGCCTTGCCCAAAGCCTGCTGGTCGTCTTCTTTGGCTTCGTCCTCCTTGACGTACTCGACTTGACCAGGGGCTTGCTCGGGAACTTGTTGGTCGTTGGAGGGCTGCTCCTCGCGCTCATTCTGCGAAAGAATCTCGTCTTGACGGCGCTGTATCTTTTCGAGAATATCGCCAAGGCTTCGAGAGGTCTGGGGTTGAGCCGAGTTGTCGGAGGGAAGGGGAGCACCGGAAGAGTCGACAGGGCCGTCAGCTTGCTGCTGGTCTGACGAATTCTGTTGCTGTTGCGATTGGGGAGCAGCTCTACGTAGAAAATCAGTAATACTCTCGGCCATGTATCAATGTTACTCACCCGTCGTGACCTTGAGCACCTTCTTCCATCTCCTCTTTCTCCACATCTGCCTCTTCCTCTGCTTCCTTCTCCTTTTGGATCTCGCCCTCCAGTCCACCGCCCATGCTTTTGCCGACTTCAGACTCTTGAGCTTGTTCGTTGGCAGCAGACAAGTCGGCATCCTGGCCCATGTTGGCCTCCTCCTCGGTTTCATCTTCGCCTTGGCCAGTAGCCTCGGGAGCGTCGTCCGCCTCTTGACCTTCTTGCTCGTTGGAATTGTCGATCTCATCAGGCTGCCCGCTCTCCTGCTCCTCTTCGTCGCCATCGACGGACATACCCATGTCGTCTCCGAGATTCTCATCTTCCTCCTCTTGGCCCTCTTCCATGCCTTCGTCGTCGAGATTGAGATCTTCAGGAAGGTCAAGGGTTTCGCCTTCGGGCATAGAGACCTCTTGCTGGTCTTGGCCTGCAGGTTGATCGTCGCCGTCCTCTTCGTGCTCCTCTCCGGGGACTTCTTCGTCGTCCATCTCTTCTCCCTCCTCATCACCGCCTTCATCTCCATCGTTCTTCTGCTCGGTCTGCTCGCTGTCCTCTGCTTGGTCCCCTGCCTCTTCCTTCTGCTTATCTTCCTTCTTTTCTTGCTTTTCCTTCTTCTCGTCCTCCTTGGCAGTCATCTCCGTCTCCCCTTCCTCCTCCTGACCCTGCTGGTCCATCAACTCGTCGCTATCCTTCTTGTCCTCCTCCTTCTTTTCATCACCCCAGAACTTTTCGTCCACGGCTCCAGGATCAAGAGGATCGACATCACCAACGTGCTCGTCGTGGTCTTCTTCCTCTTCTTCCTCGTCGCCACTTCCTTCGTCCTTCTCCTTTCCTTCACCCATCTCTCCTTCAAAGTCTTCGTCCATGCTGAAAGCATCATCATCCTCGCCGCCGTTCTCTTCCTTCTCCTCTTCCTCCTCGCCCTGCAAGCCTTCGACTTGGGATTCTTCCGTGATCTCGTTGCTCACGTTGTTTTCGCCAGTACCTGCGCCCATACCCGTACCCTCAATCGCGTCGCCATCTTCGCCCTGTCCCTCATCTCCCTGTTCCTGCGGTTTGCAGAAGCCTTTCTGGGCGAGGTCAAGGACGATTCGGCCAACGACGTAGGCAAGCTTGTAGGTGGCCTTGACGGAGTGGGTGTGGACGCTCAAGGAGTGGGAGTAGGTTTGGTTGAAAATTTCGAGGAAGGGGATGATTCGGGAGATGCAGTTTGGCACAGTGCTAGCGGGGGCGGCGGTGAGGCGGCCGATGAAAGTGGAGAGCCGCTCAACGATGTCGCTGACGTGCAATGAAGCAACCAAAGAGCGTTGCTGCTTGAAATCCGTCGGGATATGGGGATACTCGTCTTCCTGGACTTCAGCCACCACAGGGGGCTTGAGCTGCTGAGCAACCACCAGCAGAGACTGGATGATCTCGTCGCTCTGGGTCCAGAGTTGTTCTTCCCTGTCGACCGCAGAGGCGACAGGCACGGCAAGCTCGAGTGAACGAGCCATGTTGGCCACGGGAATAAGAAGGTGCCGGAAGTCGTCCGTAGCTTCAGCCTGAGATGTGAAGCGCTCTACAAGACTTTTGCGGATTCGCTCAAATGTGTTCAGAAGGTCCATTTCCGCTAAGCCCTTGTCAGTATATGGATTGAGGATAGCGACTGAACTTACTCTGGGTGAACAGTGAGCAGGTAGAGTCTGTCACGGAGTCAAGTGTCTTTGACAAGGCTTGAGAAAGCAGACCAATTTCCTGTCGGAGGTCATGGACAGCGGCGAGGTCCTCGTTTCGACATTGTCGGCCCTGTAGTTCTCGGAGCTGACGCATGCCCTCTTCGGTCTCAGCAAGAGCCCGGTGTATCTGACTAGCAGACGCTTGGGCTGCCTCGAATGCTTGTACGACTGAGGCACCGCTGATCACGGACTCGGCTTCGGAGCAGTGTCGGAACCGCTGTAGTATAGCTTCAAGCTTGGTCAACGGCTGAAGCTCATTGACAATCCTACAATTAGTCAGCAAAAAGCCCACTCAAGACAAGAATGACCTACTGAGTACGCTCATTCAGAGCCGTCGCATATAATGACTCCACAAACCCAATACCTCTCCGCAGATCTTGAGAGTTGATGTCGGGGCTGTGTCCGTTGAAAGCGGCCCGGACAGCAGCTACCAGGATCTCCATCCTGTGGTGGTAATTCTCGACCTTGTTGGCATTTTGGCTAACCAGGTCGTTGGATAGACCGTGAACGACAATATGAGGCTGACTGACCAGCCACATGGTAGACTGTTGGCGAGCAAGTTGATCGGCACGGACATTCTGAGAGAAGCCAGCAGCTCGAAGGGCCTTCAACATGTCAGAGTAAGCTTTACGCTTTCGACTGGCGAGATTGTTGACGATTTTTTCGTTCTCCTTGGTGAGAGTCGACGGTGTTTGCTTGTTCAGATGGGCTGCTGTGTCAATGACATCGACAGCCATGGTGTCTACCAGAGAAGCGGTGGAGCCTGTGACCGTGCCTCGAATTCTGTCATGAACTTGCCCGTATCTGCTGAGAGTCTCGTCGAGCCTTAGAAGGACATCGGGAACGGGGACAGCGATGCTCGCTCGTGAACCAAGAGCGCCATTGGACAGCGACATTTTGTCATATACAGATGGGGTCCAAGGCTCGGACGGTATCGGGGCTTCTTGGGGAACGACACCGTTCAATTCCATCATCATGGGCGCCACTGGCTGCCGAAGCACATCACGGAACTTTCTGATACTCCGATGCAGCGCTTTATGGGACTTTTGGGCACTTGCTTTGAGGGCGTAGACGTTCACGTCCTTCCAGCTGGCAAGCTTGACAAAGTCCTTGATGGCCTTGTCAATGGCCGCGCGCTGAGTAGACAGGGAGTCCTTGACCCTGATGGCAAATAACCCGGCGTTTGCCAGGAGATTGTGCAGCATAGTAGCAATCTTCGATAACTGTGGGGCTTGATGCGACATCTCGATTGCCATACGTTGGAAGGCAGCAAGCAGATCGACACGAGACGCAAAATGACCGAGGGTACTGTTGTTGATATATGTGGATATCAGCGGGAGTGTCTCAGTCATGTGCTTCTCAATATCCTCCGCGCCAACAGCACCATGGATAAGAGCGCCATAGAGGCGTAGAGTCCACTCGTCATCTTGCGACACATATTGTTCTGCCTGGTCGTCCAGCAAACGCGTCCAAGAGATTAACTCCAATTTCCTCCATTCAATAATCATCTTGGAGATTTCATCCCTAAAGGGGCCCAAAGAGTTGTCGCGATTGGCGTAGCTTTCCCAGTCCTCTGTATGAAGGAGGAGGTACTCCAGTGTGGAGAGCACTTGGGCTACCGAACTTCGGGTGTCAAGATTCAGGATGCGCTCGCAGCGTTCACGTATATGAACGAGGACCATTTGCTCGGGCCACTCCGCAATGAGAACGTCAAGTCGGCGAATTAGGCGGGCCAAGACGTCATGAGCCTTACGAATTTCGGGCTCATTATGCGAAAGATAAAAGTTGGGCTGTGAAGGAGGCATCCTCACATCTACTTGGCGTCGGTGAAGGGTAGCCACGCGGAACGCCAGACTTCTGACGTCAATTTCTTCGTCGAACTTTGATGTATCAAAGTTGTAATGGATGGTTTCGTCGATGAGCTGCTTCAAAAGTTTGCCTGGAGTGCAAGACGCATGACCAAACCCTTGTCTGACAAGAGTAGAGAAAGCCGACACGTAGGATGGCAGGAATCCTTTCTTTTCCTTCTCTTCTGCCTTCTCTGGTTCGAAGGCAGCGTCATTCGCGTCAGCGTCCTCGTACTGTGGGAACAGCTCCGCAAACTCCTTTGCTTCCTGCTCCTCGTCCGAGAGTACCTCGATATCCGTCTTCTTGACGCGGTACATACTCTCGGCATCTGAAGCCTCTTGTTGCTCTCTGAGACGAATGGCACTCCAAGATTGGTACAGGTAGTCCAAGCGTTGCGCTATCCTGGGGACATGCGCCCTTCGCTGTTGGCTGTTGTCCATATCGCAGATGTAGGATGACACCGCCAGAAGACCAGCTGGGACACCTGTGGCCTTGTCAACAGGGGCATCGACAGTCAGATCTTGAAGGGTCTGCAAGTGTTGAGCGAGAGGGAATGACAAGGCGGAGGAGAGTGCTGGATTCGATTTGGCAGCCTGAAGGTCGCCGGCTCTAGCTACAAGACGTATACCAAATTTGCCTATCGAAGTGGCAGTGACAATTGGGTGTACCAGATCGGGGGTTTCGGCATAGTTGGAAGTCAGGCGTTGTGTGAAAGCAGCAGAAGCGAGCTGGAAATCATGCTCGCGAGAAAAGCCATGGGTCTGACCGTTTTGCAGGGAAGTCACGAGCGCTGTGATGCGGCTCTCCTCGTACTGATCGGCAAGGAATGCGTGTACCTCATTGAACAAATGAGAAAGCTTGATGACGTCCGAGGAACGCTCGAGTGCTGGTCCCAGAGCGGCGTGGCCATGCTGAAGGTTCGTGACTTCCTCCTGGAGATCCAGAACAACTGCACTATCGCTGACGCCTTTGACGATCATCTCAGCAGCAGAGACAGCTGAGAGCTTGGCCTCGGAGTGTACAAGGAGTTGCTCTATGACCTCGCCTTCGAGCCCTCGGCGAACTCCAGGATCTATAGGGATGTTGGTGACGTATAGATCGAGGATGAAGTATGAGACCGCAATCCAGAGGGATCCGAGCGCCGAGAGGTCATGGGGTGTATTGGTAATAGAGATGAAGGCAGGCTTGATCCACTTTTCAAAGGAGCAGCCCATCACACGAGCATGACTGTCGTCCTGAGAAGCTCTTTCGACAGCCCCTGTGATAGATTCCATGAACTTGACAACGTCCAGATTGGACGAGACGGAAACCCCAAATGAACTGACGATCTGAGAGTGGGTTAGCGGGAGTGATCAGGGCATTTTGAGATTGTCTTACCCAGACCAAAATTGTCAAGACAAGACTAAGAGCTTCATAACGACGCTTGTCATCATTCTCAGCATCATACAGTGCTGTCTTGATCGAGAAATTGAGGGCGTCGTCCTGTTCAGGTATATTTGCCATTTTGATGGACTCGACGACACTAGAATGTCTCAGCAATAGCCGCCTACTTTGTAGCATTGGACTTACCTGAACCGAAGAGACGCGGACAAACGTGTGGGCTTGAACAAATCAGCAGGCCCACTCAAGACTTCCTCGTTCGGTGCAGCATGGTCCCAGACTCTTTGCAGCCAGGTCGACAGCGCTTGGAAGGAATGCGCCGCGATCTTGTCAGAGCTCAAGCTTTTACTGAGGGACACAAGCGAGGACAAGTCAACGTTGCGATCTTCCACAATGATCTGCAATGCTTGACGGTTGTTCTAAGACTGTTTCAGCCCTCATGTGCGAGTGAAGGAAGAACTGCTCACTTTGGATAAAGCTGCGAGCTCCAATGCTTCAACCACACTCCAGTTCGTCCAGTTGCTACTTGGATCAATCTCTTTTCTCGGAATCATCTTCGAGTTTGTAAGCAGAACCTCCAACTGCGACAATACACCATCCTCTACAGAAGCGTCATCCAAAACAGATAGAGCCTCGAGAACGGACAGGCGTAATTCTGTTACCTTTGTCAGCCTTTTGTTCATATATTACAAGAAATACTTACGACGATCCACGACTTCATTACTCAAGGCAGCTAACCTCTGAATTTCTGCCGCCTGACCGAAACGGCTTGATGCGGCCCGGAATAGAGTCCAGATTTGATCTTGACCCATGCCGGACGTCAGCTGCACCGTCTTTGCTAGGTTTCGCAAAGTCTCCAACACAGGTGCAAATATCTGAATGCCTTCTATCTCGTCTTCGATCCATTTTGCGAGAAGCTTCGTAGACGAGTAATCGAATGTAGTCGACTTCGCGTGCTCTTGAATAAGCTGAACGTAGGCTAAGATACGCGCCAGCTTGGTGAGGGAATCTTGCGAGGTAGTGGCGATTGATCCGATATGAGCGGTGACCAACTCGGAAAAGGCGAAGAGGAACGGGTAGATATCCTTGCCAGCTGCCACTTTCTGTCGCGTGACTGCACGACGAAACGCGGCAGCAGAGGTCGCCAGCACGGTCTTGCCGTTTGCAGGCTCTTCGAGCCAAACTTGAAGTTGCTGTTGTCTGTACTTGTCAAGAGACAGTGTGGACAGTATGGAGAACATTGTCCCGCGAATCTGAGCAGTCGAGTGGACATTAGGATTGAAGGTGGGATCAATGAACTAGGAGCGTCGATCAGTACCTGCACTTTCCGGGTTTTATGCAACGGGCTTACTAATGATTCGACGAAATCAGACTCCAATCCTTGACTCATGCACACATTGGAAGCCATCGTCCTTGAGATCTCTCGTACAGAAGCAGAGAGGAGGACCATCGCGACCTCGTTGAGAAGACTGGGCGTAGCAGGAGAGCTGCAGCGAAGCAGATACGGCACGCTTTTGTGACTTTGGAACGCAAAAGCGGCTGCTACGGCAACACCATCCTCACTCAGTAGATTGTCGTACATGGTATCCACCTGTCGCAGCATCGAATTGTCTGACATGACGAGAGGCTGAACATCTTGCGGGCTAGTTCTTTGGCCGCTCTGGCTGACAAAAAGCTCCACGCCTCGGTTGCGCATAGCTCTTGACAGCTCACCGAATTTGGGGTCGTAAGTCATAAAGAGCCTGAAGTCCGCGTGGGGCTTGAGTATCTCTGGGCTACCAGTTGACGAACCCTTCTCACTCAAAACGAGCACGCCGTTACTCTCACATAGACTGTTGAGTCGGTCGAGTACGGACGCGCTGCACAAGTTGGCGTCCGATATGAGGAACCACCCGCCATTTTTGATCGCATGAATTAGTTGACCATCGACCCAAGCAAATCCTACAGCATTTGGACCAAGTTTGGCAAGATCGGCCATAGACTGCTGGGCTAGCGTCGTGTCAGCCAAAGAGGAGCAAGTCTGAACGATGGACTGGGACATTTCGTAGAACGCTGGTATAGCACGGGTGTCGGAGCGATTTGTGCAAGCTCGCCTGGCTGAGGATAGCTCAGAAAGTTGCGAGGCGAAGCTGGGATGGGTATCCGACAGTTTTGAGATGATGTTGCTGACATCGGTGAAAACCGCGTCAACCGAACGAGAGACATCTTGCTGCTCAAAACTGCCCAAAATTTCCGATGTGTCCACACCAGGGTGCATTGAGAACTCTCCCAGCTCTCGACCGGCCGCTTCTGCGAGGTTGTGGACAAGAGTGCGCTTGCCAGTACCGCTTTCACCAGCCAAGATTACGAGCCAGCCCATCTCAATGCCTTTCAAGATAGATTGGGCAACTTCAAGATGTCCATGGTTCAAATGCGCTTCTACCGAAGATGCGGCTCCCCGATGGATCAGAGAATGTCCAACTTGCAGCCAAGATGGTGTGACGGATGGTACAGGCCGAGTGTTGTCAATTTGAATGCCAAAAATGTTTTCAAATATGTCGGTGACCATTTGGCGGTCTCGTTCACTTCTGAACCTCTGACGATATACCATTTGGAAGAACTCGACCGGATGTTCACTCTTCTCCAGCCCATTCTTCTTCGAAAGGAGGTTGAACCATCGGAACAAGTCACGAAGATTAAACTCCCAAGGACTTCCTTCGCGCCCAATAGCACGAGTGACCATAGTCTGAACTCGCATGGTCTCGTTGAATGATATCATTTTCTGGACCATCTCAACAGGTATCGGGTGAAGGTCTCGGCAGATGATCAAGAGATCTTCCGGGGTATGCTCTTGCAGGTAGACCTTGGTGAAACGATTCAGGAACGACTTTGGTAGGCCTTTTCGGCCACCACCCTGTTGCAGAGGGTTTTGAGCAGCAAAGACTCTGAAGCCGGGATGGCGATCGAACGATTTTCCCAGTTCAGGGATGTATACGGTACCACGATGATCAAGAACAGCGTTGAGGCCTTCGAGAACTGTTTGCGAGGCAAGGTTCATCTCGTCGAGTAACACCCAATCACCTTTCTGCATAGCATCGAGGAAGGCCGCGTCTCGCCACTGGAACTCGCCGGGCTGCCCCCCTTCGACCGGAAGATCGGACCCAAATAGGTCTATCAGATCGGTCTGATCGGAAAGGTTGATCCGCTGAAGATTGTACCCCGCAATGCCAGCCAGAGCGGAGACGAGACTCGTCTTTCCTACTCCTGGACTACCTTCAAGCAGGATTGCTTTGGGCAACTGACAGCCACGGACAAGCCTCATGGTGTTGAGAGCAGTCGTAGGAGCTCCGAACATGAAGGTCGGGACCTCATTGATGACGGGGCCCTTCGGGACTGAAAAGCCGCCCACGTGGACAGCTTCGGAGCTGATCTTGACATCCAAGTTCGGCACCGTTTGCAATTCGCTATCCAGCGATGTCGCCAACACGCCCAGTTGGACAAGACAGTCTTCTCGAAGGATTTTGATGCTGGATGTCGACATGCCGGACGTCTGAGGCAGCGATTCCAGTCCGTCGATTAATACCATTTGACCGCCATGGTGCTAGCGAAACGTGAGCTTCATCAAGACTGAAAGAACATCTAAGATTTACAAAAGCTTGAGCGGCATTGAGGCCTTTGGCAAACATGTCGTTGCTAAAACTGACCCAAGCCTGCATTTGGTGTGAGCACTGACATACCGACATTGTTAAGACCACTGACCAGGATATCTCGCAAACCCAGTCCAGAAGCATCACCCAGCTTCTCGCCAAACCAGATGAAGAAGTCCAGTATAAGAGGCCCAGTAGGACTGACTTCCACGTGTCGCATTGATTGCTCAATGATCTGCAAGAGATCGCCTCTATCATTCAGAGCAGGCACCCAGATTTCAGTAAACCTGTTCCTCAACGCTGGCGAGAGCTCTTTCTTTCCAAAATCACCTCCTGGGTTCATCGTTGCCACAACATGGAATTTATCGTTGGCAACGATCGTAGCCTCATCAATGTCAACACCGCCTTTCTCGGCCAAGACAAGAGTACGTCCTGGTTCAAGCACGGAGTTGAGACGTTCGAGTACAGAATCATCCGCCAAAGACACTTCGTCCAGAAGCAAGAGATCACCCGCTGACATGGCGTGAACAAGCGGACCATCAGACCACTCGAACAGGGCGGAGAGCTGTTTGGTCTCCTGTTGACAACGTCGGACCAGCGAATGATCCACGTCCTCTCTCTGCAGAAGCCCACTGCATGCTTCCAGGATGTTGTCCTCCGAAGCATCACGACCAAGCTCAATATACTTAGCAAGGGCATCGATTACCCGAGCCTTACGGTCGAGCTTATTCCTGACGGGACGTTGACTACCAAGGAGATCGGCAGTCTCCATATTTTGGTGACAGTTGACACCGACCAACTTTTGGCTAAACATGTGGGCGACGACCTCGCAGACTGAGGTTTTGCCGCAACCTGTCTCACCGACTAGCAATACTGGCTCATTGTGCAGAAGGGCAGCCGCCACAAGTGCGAAGAGCCGCTGCATGGCCTTGGTCCATACCATCGAAGTCGGCGGAAGTGATGTCTGAGGGAATCGTGCCAGTATGCCAGCCGATTGGTCGAACAGTTCGTACATGTCGTATTTGATAGTGACCTTCATGATTTGCTCGATGACTTCTTTGATCACGACCTTGTCTTCGTCGTGCCTCGTGCGCTCTGCCAAAAGCATATAGCCGTCGTCCGCGAGCTGCTGATAGCCCACAGCACCTCTTTCGGCCCAACGAAACAAGTCTCGAAGGGTAGCGAAAGACTGCTTCGATTCAAAGACACGTGACGCTTGACGCCGATGTCTCAGCTCCTCGAAAACCTGGACGATCTTTGCAGCATACGAAGGAGCGATTTGACATCGCTGACACAAGATGGTCTCGAGCTCGGTCTTGGGAACATCGTCAAAGTGAACTTCCAAGAATCGATTGCGGAAAGCTCTTGACAAGATCTTACGCCCAGCATAGAGCCCTGGAGGATTTTGGGTGGCGAAGAGGATAAAGTTGGGATGGGGTTTGATCACCTCCTGGGTTTCGGGTATGACAAGCTCCCTGTTGTCGTCCAAGAGTCGGTTGAGCGCCTCCAAAACATCCGTTGGCGCCAGATTCAATTCGTCCAGCACAATCCAGTGCCCTTGCTTTACCGCAGTCACCAGCAAACCTTCTTGAAACACCAGATTCCCCGTCTGCGGGTCCGTCACGTATGTTCCAAGATACTCTTGAATATCTGTATGCTCGTGATTGTTGATACGCACAAATCGATGACCAGTCTGACGCGCCAGGAATTCAACGGCACTGGTTTTTCCTGCAGAGGTGGGACCTTGAATGAGGACAGGGTACCTCTTGGTAAGGATCACGCGGGCGAGATCAGTCAGTTTCGACTGCACAGAGGGAGTGATGATGTAGCGACCCTCTGTGGAAGCCGGAAGAGGTCCGCGGCGAAGCCAGAAAGGCCCGAATCGAATATAGTCGTCGGCATCCATGTCTGAAGGAAGAGAGGGTATTTGCGCAAGCACAGCCCGGGCGTTCTTCATGGGCGACAGGATGTGCCTCTCTCCAGCTTCGTGGGCGATGCGCGCGCTCGCCTCGTCCAGAGACATGGTGAAAGCCATGAGATAGCCCTCCCACAAGCCACGACGAAGGCCAAAAAGCGGAGCACTTTCCACGGCAAATGTCAACGCCCTCGCAAGAGTTCGCATACTAAAGTGCGGTGGCGCATTGGATCCGTCCACGATCTCTTTTGCCGCGCACAGCTTTTTGAGGGTAGTGTAGAGTTCTGCGACATCGAGCACGACGCTCTTGTCTCCCGCTGCCGCATCACCGAGATACTGCGAGACGATAGAGAGGAGCGCCTCTCGGTCGTCATCTGGGGGAGGCACATATAGCTCAGTGAAGCGCGTGCGCAGATTGGGAGGAAGATCTTTCTTGCCGACATCGGTGGCTGGGTTCATACAGGCAAAAAGCCTGAATTGAGGGTGTCTCTCAATAGGCTCGACGTCTCCCCGCTCGGTCAGGACAAGAGACGCTGTGGGTCCTTCGAGGATAGTTGATATAGCTTCGAGCGTTTCTTGCGACGCAAGGTTGACTTCATCAAGTAAGATCCTGTATTGTCAGTGGCGTCTTGCATAAAGTCGTACTCACCATTCCCCAGACTTGATAGCTTTAACCAAAGGTCCCTCCACGAACGAAAACACCAGCTTGCTCTTCATCTTGGCGTGGTGAAGGTCGAATTCTGTAACGTCAGCTAGCAGCCCTTGCCACTCATTGGACACCCTGGTCGCTTTAGATATTTTTCTCCGCTTGAGAGGTGATCCCTCTGCCGGAGGAGCATCCCTGATTATGGTCAACTCTGCCTGAACTTCCTGTAGAATTGTTACTCACGGCTCCCCTTTGCCCAGCTTATCTATGGCTCGCCTAGCCGAAGACCCCCAAATCTCTACACACCTGCCCCACTTCCTCCCTGCAAGTGCCTTTGCCCCCGCCTCGACATACGACCCATTCGCAGGTTTACTCATCGCAAACGTCTCGCAAAACAACTTTTGCCACCTCGTATGCAGCGCACGGGCAGCAATGGAAGCGTCTATAGGTTTGAACCCACCGAGCAAATCGCTGCTTTCGGTTTGCATCGACAAGTTGAGCACAGTGAGTGGTTTGCGGACGATGGAGGCGATGTGTTGGACAGCGGTGGTCTTACCGGTACCAGTTTCACCAACCAGAAGGGTTGGCTCGCCAAGAGCGAGAGGTACAGCAACTCGCTCAAGGAGGATAAGAGAGGGTTTCGTAAGAGCAAAAGGCCGAGAAGAGGAGGCGGCGGCTCGGCGGCTTCTTTCGGGTGCCGCCAGCTCCATAACGACTCGCCCAACATGCAGCTGACGAGAAGCGGAGCTAGCCTCGAAGTTCGGTTTTCGGCCATCCAAAGCCAAAACCCGATCCTCGTCCATCCCCAGTCCTTCTGCAATAGTCATCATCATCTGCTTCTTTTTCTCCAGCGAGGCGCCTTTATTGTCGAGAGAAGCAACAAAGATATCAACACCCTCCAAGAACACCTCATCCTGGAGCACGGTGTTTGCAAAGATGGAGCCTGACTGCTCTAGCGCGGCCAATGAGGCAGAAGGAGGCAAATTGCGCACCACTCGCGCACACCATTTCTCGAGATCCCTCAGTCCAATATCCCTAGCCTTGACTTGGCCAGATACCCTGTCAAAGGGGCGGAGCTGGTGCCAGATGTTGACGAGGGTGATGGTGATGCTCCGAGGCAAGCGCTCGAATCGAGCAGAGAGGAACGCTAGGATATCGCTGTCTGACGGGGCTTCAAGGATGGTTTCGGTAAAGATGTGGTGCGCATAGAAGCTTGGGGGAGTATAACCCTGTCGGATGGTTCTTGTGACAAACAGTCCGAATCCTTCTCCAGCCTCAACATCCTCTCGCCCGGGAACAGCCAGCGTAGCCCTCTTTCCCGGTCTCGTACTCCTCAGGCTCCTGGCAATTCCAGCCAGCGTCACGAGCATTTCTGTACTCCCCCTATCCACGTCCTCAAAAACGACCCATCTCCCCGCCCTGATCGCTTTCGCAAGCGCTCCTTCCATCCACTCAAACGTCCCAGGCTTTGTTGGCGAAGAGATATACGTCCCAATCAGACTCTTCACATCGATAGATGTGTCTGCGAGGGGGATAGTAAGGATCCTACTGGAAGGCCGTTGGTTGGGGAAGAGTACAGAGGAGAGGTATTGTAGGATGTGGGATTTGCCTGAAGAAGGTGGGGAGGTGAGGAGAATAGGTGCAGTGAGCTGTACCAGAGGACAAAGCGTTCTGAGCGCATTGTCCATGGGCTCCGTACGCACATGTGTGATACTTAGAGAGGGGTTGGGGGGAGAGTTGCGCAGGATGAGATGGTCGGCGACAAGTGCCGTGCGTGAGGACAGATCGTGCTCCGCAATTGTGGCAGATGAGGCATAGACGAAATCGTTCGTCGACTTTCTAGTTCTTTTGATCCTCTGCGCTTCTAATATAGGCATAAGCCATCCATCCACCACCACCTCTTGAGTTTCAAACCCTCCCTGCGGCAGCACGTTGACGGTGTGCCCAAAGAGGATCTTTACATCCGTAGTCTCCACCGCCCCTACATGGGCAAACTCCATCTCCATCCTTTTCGTCTCGCTCCATTTCCGCTGCTTTGAAAGTACCTGGATAGCGAGCAGTCTTACCCCGGCGTCAGGGTGCTCAGTGCGAAGAGCGTGGAGAGGTATTATCGACCAGTCGTTGCGGGAAGCAATGAAAGGGTCCACGATAATGAGACGCATGTAAGCCAGGAGCAGAGAGTGGAGTCGAGGAGCAGGAACCTCTGTGAGGTTTTGCTGGTCGAGGCAGGAGAAGGGGGAGGCTCGGAAGGGAGATTGGAGGATGAATGCGTAAATCAAACTGTAAAGAGTCAACATCGTTCACATGCCAATGGGATACTCACCTCCACAGCTGCGGGGTGGTCTCTGCTAGCTTTGCCAATACCGATAATCGCTTCTCAATCAGGTCACTGTCTGTGAACGCCGATGGTTCCAACCACCTAGCTAGTATATCGAGCAGCACTGGCTCGAATCGGGCTTCAATGAGCTCAAACAGACCATCGTTCGCCGCTAAATTTGACAGCGCTGACAATAGCTGCTGTGTCGATCCATTCCCTCTGGCATAGTCGTAGATTGCTTGAGGAAGACTTCCGGATACCGAATCTGAGTGATTCAAATCACCGAGAAACAGTCGCACTTGATGCCCCAAGTCGAGGGTCAGAGGCGAGGGAGTCACCTTGGGTGCCTCCTGAAGCGCCTCTGGGAGTACCTCGCAGGCGGCGATTGGGTGCACTTCCATATGGTGGTCCTCCTCCATGATGTGTTGCTGGAGGGTGGCCTTTTGGGTGGAATGTCCTGCTTTCGAGAGCGTTTGTGCTATCTGCGTGCGGCGGCGTTGAAATTTAAGAGATCGCTCAGGCACGCGCCAAAATACAGCGGCCAGTTTGATCCCGTCCAGCTGATGGCTGCCTTCTTTGAGCGGATTCCATGGACAACTGTCAAACCGACTGCATCTGCACAAACAAACATCCTCGCAATGTCTAGCGAACGTACCTCCAGATGGGGTGAAGCCCCTGCCTCGGACTCTCCCGGCCCTGCAGGCTCTTCTGCTACCGCCTCGGATGCTGCTGCCCGTGCCGCCGCCATCGCCAGCAAAATCGCTCAATCTCTTCGGCCCCAAGGAAACGAGCTGGTCAAGAAGGACGAGGACGAGGGAGCTTTCGTGAAGGATATTGAGATCAACGACTTGAGAAATAGATATGTGTTGACAAAGGGGGCTACGCAGAAGCAGGTATGTGGCTTTGCAAGATGGCATGGCAATGTACTCACCTTGGCAGATTTCCGACGAGACAGGCTGTGTCATAACGACAAAGGGTGTCTGGGTCCCCGACAGGTCAAAGATGCCTCCCGGGGAATCTCCCCTCTACCTCCACCTCGTTGCCACCTCCCAATCCATCCTCGATGCCGCCGTTTTCAAAGTCAACGACTTGATCAACCAAGAACTCGGTCCTCTTATCGACGAGCGAACTCTGGTGGCTAGGAACAGGGCGTTGGGTCTTCCCCCTCCTCCGGGAGTACTGCCAAACGGAAGAGTAAAGTGGCCGGAGCAGAAGTTGTATATCGGGCTGGATAGTATGAGAAACTTTAACGTGCGGGCGAAGACTGTTGGGCCGGGTGTAAGTCATTCTTGTTTTCGAGAGCCTGCGCTCATGATGCGTATAGGGTATGTTTGTCAAGTGGATCCAGGCGGAAACTGGTGCGCGAGTGCAAATCAAAGGGATAGGATCGGGTTTCATGGAGAGCGACACTGGACGCGAGTCGGACGAGGCCATGCACATCAACATTGCGTGAGTTTTCAATTGCCTTTGAATGAGGCATTCTAACGCTACATAGCGCTCCTAACGACGAGCAAGTCAACCGTGCCAAGATCCTTGCCGAGGACCTGCTTGAAGTCCTCCGGACAGAGCACGCCAAAGCCCGTGACTCCGTCAACTTGAGCCAACAAGCCGGCGGTGTCTACGGTGGATACCAGAGTTACGGTGCGCAGCCGTCCGGACAAGATGCTTATGCTGCCTACTATGCCGTGGGTACCACCTCGATTTATCGGAATCAGCTGAACGATTGTCGTAGCAACAGGGTGCCACCGGTACGCCCGGTTCCCAGCCAGCCGCTACTCCCGCTGCCGGTGCAGCTGGAGGCGCCACCCCTGCTCAAGGATCCGACGCCTGGGCTCAGTATGCCGCCTACTGGGCAGCGTACGGTTACGATGTCAATGACCCCCAGTGTACGTCTTTTTCCAATGACTTGTCGCAGCAATAGCTTATGCCATACCAGTCCAAGCTTGGCAAGCAACTCAGTACGGTCAAGGCGCGGAGGGCGCTACTCAAACGCCTCAAGCCGGAGCTGCTGCCACCCCCGCGCCTGCTCAGCCTGCTGCTCCATAGTCTCTTTCCTCCTGTGTTCTGTTTCAAGCATATTCCATGCAATTTGATTTCATATTCTACATAGAAAGCTGCAAAGATGTGCAGTCCACTTCCTGGCCATCTCCGAGGCGTTAAAAGCACAGAGATAGCGCCACCAACCAAAAGGCCAGAGGAAGTGAAGCACGAACAAAGGTTCCTCATTATGGCAAATATTCCTATCACTGGACTGCTGGGTAAGGCGAGAACAGTGTACACATAGTTGCGTGGTGGATCGGGGACGATGGGGTGTAGGTGGTTGATAAGGTGACTTGATGCATCTTGCGGTGCCGTATGTAGTTTTATGAGATGATGGAGATAAAGAAGGAAAAGAGAGCATAGTTTCGTCGATACGGCTAGGACGAGGCTGACGTGGAGATACCCGCACGGCGAATTGATCCCGTCCCGACCGACGCCTCTTGCTGGACGTGGCAGACATGATACTCAAGCCACAGCTCATCGTTCACGCTCAAAACGGCCGCCATGCTGCTCGCCGCCCTCCTCCTCCCCCTTCTCCCCCTTGCTGTCGCCCTCGCACCCCCTCCACAGGTCTTCGTAAACACCGCCATCGCACGCACACTCGAGCTCGCAGGTGCCACAACCCATGTCACCACTCAGTACAACATCAAATCCCTCGTCGACGCGCCTGGAGAGTACCACCTCGCCCTGGCAGGAGACGGCGATCTGATACCGGCCTGGTGGGAGGTTGCTATCGCCGGAAAAGCTGCAGATGGACTTGCGATTCTGAGCGACAGGTAGGCTGCTGCGCTTCATGAAATGTACTTGTGCTGACAGAGGTCAAGGCCGCCTACAGTGTCTCTCCCCCTGGGACATCTGAAGAAGGATGAATCTATCACATTATCGCTGGCATATGTCCTCGATCACCAAAGCAAACCATTCCCTGCAGAAATCGCTCAGACCGACGCGCAGTATCTGCTCTTCACCACCAACTCTACTTATGTAGACAGCTGGTACCCCACTGATGTCGAGCGCGTCAAAGTTCGGTATGTGACATTGTCAATCCATGAAATTGTCTAACACCGCGATAGATCTCCCCATGTCATCCTCACCCACGGCTCTGTCTCTGATGCCTATACACGCGATAATGTCATCACCAAAGCCGGCACCTCTCTTACCCTCGGTCCCTTCCACTCCCTTCCAGCCACTCTTGGGGACGCCAAATTCAGGCAGGAGTCTTTCACTGTGCACTACGAAAACAAGGAACCTGTCATTGGTATCAAGACTTTGAAGCGAAGTGCCGAGGTTAGCCACTGGGGCGCCAACTTGAACATTCAGGATGAGATCTCTTTGGCCAACATCGGTCCCAAGTACGTGGCGCCTCGTTCCGGACAGGACGAAATCTGACGTACATGTAGGCTCAAGGGTCACTTCTCTCGATTGGCACACCAAATGTCCCGATTCCACGCCTCCACCCCTGCCCAGATCCTCACCGAGCTCACCCTCCGCACCCCTCCCACCGCGCACTCCCCTTACTATTACGACACCATTGGTAACGTCTCTACTTCCCATTTCCGACCAGGCGTTACTCCCGCTCAGACCAAGCTGAAGAGCAAGGGCCGCAGTCCTAGGACTGTTGACGGTTTCCTCGAGTTGAAGCCCCGCTATCCCCTCCTTGGTGGCTGGAACTATAGCTTCACAGTAGGATACAATATCCCTCTTGGGGATGTGCTCAAGGTGGATAAGGCGAGCGACAAGAAGGTCTTGGCTGTCCCATTCTTGACTGGTATCAAGGATGTCGTTGTGGACGATGCGGAGGTGACCATTGTTTTGCCGGAAGGAGCTGTGTAAATATCTTTCCGGAATGACAAGGGGCGCACTGACCAACTGTAGTGGCATCGAGATCTACACACCTTTCCCTGTTGACAGCATCTCCCACTCCATCCACAAGACCTACCTTGACACTACTGGCCGACCCCAGATCACCATCAAGAAGGCTCGGTGCACTGAGCAACATGCCAAGAATGTCTATGTGAGTCGACCTCCGGGATCATCTCCCGAACTCTGGAGCCCACTGACTGACATCCTTGACTTTACAGGTGACATATCACTACCCCTTCTCCGCCCAGATTCAGAAGCCTTTGGCTGTGGCGTCAGTCGTGGGAAGTCTATTCTTGTTGGGAATCGGATTGAGGCGAGTGAACTACAGCATTGACAAGAAGTAAATACAATCGCGTCCATGCAAATCAATCATTGCCAAAAGAACTCTCCATTGCACGTTTTGCTAGGTTATAACACCGGAGCCGGCCGGCTTTGCCATTCTATCGTAAACACCGCCGCCGAGACGGCTGATCGGCCGCGCCGGCGACTAATCTGTGATCCTTTTCATGTATATAACGGGCTGTTTTCGCTGTGTCTTTCTTGTATCAACTTTTCGCTCACCATGGAGGCCTACTTCCAATATAGAGCCTTCACTCCGAAGAGTACCCCGCACCTTCCCACCTACGACGAACAATCTCTCGAGCATCCAAAATCTCCCATAATATACGTCTCCTTCGACTCTGACGACCCCCGCGACCCCCAAAACTGGTCTGGGCTGTACAAGACTTTTGTCATAGGCTCGCTAGCATTCTTGACACTTTCTTTGACGTTTGCGAGCTCGGTGTCTGCAGCTGCAGAGGAGGGAATGATGGCAGAGTTTGGGTGTTCGCAATTAGCCGCAACGGCGGCAACGAGTATGTTCTTGATAGGGCTAGGGCTTGGAGCTATGCCCTTTGCCCCTTTGTCTGAATGTGAGCGTTATTCCATGCCGGTTTCTTGTTACTGACTTCTCACAGTATACGGCCGTTTGCCCGTCTACCTGATCACTATATTTCTCGCGACTGTATTCCAGATTGCCTGCGCCGTCGCGCCCAACCTTCCTGCCCTTCTTATCCTACGGTTCATTGCGGGTGTGTGGTCAACGACCCCTCTGTCGAATGCTGGAGGGTCACTGAATGACGTTGGGGATCCGGTCTTGAGGACCATCGCCATGCCTCTGTTCTCGACTGCTGGTTTCTTGGGTCCATGCCTGGGTCCCATCATCGGAGGTGAGCCCGTCTCATTGAGACAAGACATGAGCGCTGACAAATGAGCATAGGTTTCGTCGCTCAGAACCCTGCCTACGGCTGGCGCTGGTGCTACTGGGTGTGCGCCATCTGGAACGGCCTCGCCTTCCTCCTCTGCTTCTTCTTCATGCCCGAAACCCTCTCATCAGCGCTTCTCAAATTCAAAGCTGTCGCTTATCGCAGAGCGACAGGGCAAGATGTCTGGAGGGCGCGCATTGAGGACGAGACGTTTGGAGAATTGACGCCAAAGTATCTCCGGAGGCCGTTCAAGATGCTGGGGCAAGAGCCGGTGGTGCAGTTCTTCATAGCGTATCTTTTGGGTACGTCCCCTTCTTTCTCACCACAGACAATTTCTGACATCTTTCAGTTGTGTATACCGTGCTGTACGGATTCTTTGATGCCTATCCCATCGTCTTCAAGAAGCACGGCCTGACTGGCGGTAAAGGCGGCCTCATGTTCATCCCTGTACAAGTCGGCTTTCTCCTCTTGATGATTGTCAATTTCCTTCATTGGAAAAGATACAGGGGACTCGCGAGGGACGCGAAATCTGGGGTGGAGAGAAGGGGTATCAAGAATGGAAAGATTGAACCAGAGGAGAGACTCATTCCTCGTAAGCAGCTAGAATGGGTGATGAGACTGTAGCTGACCTTTTTGCAACAGTCATGCTTTGCTCTTGGCTCCTTCCCGCAAGCATGTTCTGGTTTGCGTGGACTTCCGGGCCAGAGTTCAACTTTTGGATACCAATGATGAGGTGTGTCGAGATCAAGGAAGATGTTGAATTGACTAACGCGGCATAGCGGACTGCCTTTTGGCATAGGTCTACTGTCCATCTTTCAAGGTTCTTTTCAATATCTCATCGACGCGTATGGTCCATTTGCCGCATCTGCTGTGAGTGTATCATACGACGCTTGGTCATCGTCTCTGACAGTCTGTAAGCTTTCTGGGTCAACCCTGGTGAGGTATGGAGTTACGGGTCTTGTCATCCTAGCCTTCCCGACCATGTACGAATCACTTGGAGATCAATGGGCCACTTCGTGAGTTTCACACTACTTCCATGGTCAAAGCTGACTTTGGTAGACTGTTCGCATTTATCGGATTAGCGTTGACCGCTGTTCCGTTTGTCTTCTATCTCATTGGTATGTGGTTGGAAGGACACAATCATGAGGTACTGCTAACGAGGTCTGTGTAGGTCACAAGATCCGCGCAAAGTGCCGATTTACAGTGAGAGATTGATGACTTTTTGGTGAAGATGTTGTACTCGTGCAGTACACCGTACCTACATGGCAAGGGGGACTCATGCCATATTAGAAACATACAAACTACAATATAGACCCGTACTATCTATGAACTAATCAGATGTCATCCAGTGTTACGCGCGGAAGGCTCAGGCCTGCTGCCTCTGCCTTGGCCAACAACTTAATAGCTTGCTTGTATACTGGAGCATCGATCATGACACCGTCAAGGGTGTATGCACCTTTGCCGAGATTGTCGTGGTGTTCGAAAGAGAATTTGACGCGAGCAGCTTTGAGGATAGCTTAGGTGAGTGTCAGCTAGGTACGGGCTAGGGACAATTGTCTATCACCTTTCTCGCTTGGTGCGAAGGAACTGTGGATGATGTCAATCTGTTCGGGATGTATGGCTTGCTATCACCAGAATCAGACCACGGGCGCATCGTATGACATGGCACAGCTCACCTTGCCGTCAAAACCAAGTCTCTTGCCCTCCTCCGACTCGTCGGCCAATACAATCTTGTCCTTGTAATTGACACAGACCAGATCGATGGCCTGTAGGCCGAATGCTTTGGCGGTGGTTACAAGTTTTGATCGAGGGTACAGGAGCTCTTCACGGGTTGGTGTACGCGTCAACCCGACGTCAGCGCAGTCTAAAAGTGTCAGTAAGGAAGGAATCAGCGTTGACGAGTGCTCACAATCTTCAGCAGCAAATAAGAGAGCATCCAGGTGCCCCTTTCCACTCTGCGCGATAGATTCGATTGCCATCATTGCCCTAGCATTCTCAATCATTGCTATGATTTTGATAGCTCCCGGCTGGCCTGATCGCTTGTGTGGCTCGGAGAGAGCGTTGATGCGAGAGATCACGTATTCGATATGGTCCGGGCAGTCGGTCTTTGGCAGAGCAATGGCTTCTAAGTGTCTCGTTCTGAGCTGCAAGGTATCCCTTAGCTGTGAACAAGAGGATGTACGATGACCAAGACTCACCACGGCGTCGAGATCTTCTTCCTCGTAGCCAGTGCCAATCGCATTTACACGAGCAACAACCTCGCCTCTTGGTCTTCTCTTACCCTGTGCTGCAGTCAGCATACACTAGAAGCTATGTATGGGATTGCTGAAGATGTTTGCGCACATTGAGCAAGTCTGATATCAGCTTTCTCGCTTCAGCCTTCTTTCCTGGGCTGACGGAATCCTCGAGGTCATAAGCTATGGAATCAGCGGGGCTTGATAAAGACTTTTCGAGCATTCGAGGATTCGATCCAGGCACTGGCACCTATACTGAGCACACAATAGACGATCAATCATGAGCGGCATACCATAGAGCATGGCACGGCGCGACACAGGGAGACGGGCGGTGGAGGAAACTGTGGATAGTTTCCTGCTCGAGCTGACTGGAAGCCGCCATTGCTTGAGGGTATTGTGTATGCCTGACGAGGCCATCGTTGGGTATCCGTATCACTGCTTGGATGCGTCGAGAATACACAAACCCACTGCAGAATGTCAGAGGTCGATGGCCTGACGCGCTGCCACGTGGTCGGGTCATCCGGTGAGCCTCCACCTTTGCTGGGGATAGTTCGCCGAATGGAAAGTCGCGAGTTTTATTTGACCGAGTGTATCCACCTGAGCACTACTGGCTTTCCTGCAGCAATCACAGACAATGGCCGCCCCCCAGCAAAAATACCCCTTCTGGTGAGTCGTCCCTCCTGTCTGCCACACTTTGGGCCCAGCACAAAGCTCGACTCGTTTTTCTGTGTCACGGCCCTCAATTTTTTCCTCTCCCATTGGATAGCTGCTCACGCGACCTGTCATTGTAGGACCGGAGGTGAGAACTGGCTCCATTCGCCAATGCAGGTATACTGACGATAGTCCACTCGCCACCTCACCCTCCCTTCCCATGTACTCTCGACCTGCACCTACACTGATTTTCTACCTCGGCCAAATCCGACGACAGGCGCGGCTGCGTCAAGTGAGTGTCTTGAGCATGCCCGAGAGCGCTTCTCCCCTGATCTACCGCTGACGGCGCAATTTGCAGTGGCTGCTTGCTGTACGCATCCTCTCGATGTGATGAGAGTGTGGGTCTGCATTACTCGAACACAATTCGGGGATCCGAAAGGATAATCGCTTACATGGTGCGCGCAGACGGATGCAAACGTCGACGACAAGAACTACTTTTGTTCAGGCAGTCAAGGGTGTGGTCAAACATGATGGTCAGTCGCTCTATGCCCCCTTCGTCCATCGCGCTAACTTATCATAGGCATTCGAGGATTGTATACCGGTCTCACTGCCTCCATCTTTCGACAAATGACATACAGTGTCACAAGACTTGGTGTCTACGACCTCATGAAGAATCAAATGTCAAATAATGGCAAAAAGAAGTTGACGACGGGAGATATGGTTATCTGTGCGAGCACGGCTGGTGCTTTGGGTGGTGTAGCTGGTAACCCTGCGGATATTATCCTTGTCAGGTGAGTTCTATTCTGGGCCGACCGGGGCTCGGCGTTAACATTAATGTGTCTTTCCAGGATGGTTGCCGACCCTACGAAACCTCTTGAGCACCAGCTTCACTACAGAAATGCCATCCATGGCCTGTACAAGATGGTGGCCAATGAGGGCCCTGCTTCCCTTGCTCGTGGTCTTGCTCCTAATACTGTACGCCGGACATACATACCGCAGATCCAAAGCTGATGTCTCTCCAGATCCGTGCTACTTTGATGAACGCCTCCCAGCTCGTCTCATACGACTTCTTCAAGGACCACATTCTCGCCGCTGGTATCATGGAAAACGGCATGCCTCTGCATTTCGTCTCCTCCGCCTTGTCTGGTACCGTCGCCACCACCATATGTGCCCCCGCCGATGTCGTCAAGAGCAGAATCATGAACATGAAACCTGGAGCTGGTCAGGGACCGATTGCGTTGTTGACGGAAAGTTTGAAGCACGAGGGACCGAGATTCTTGTTCAAGGGATGGCTTCCCGCTTGGAGTGAGTACCTTCTCTGGCTGTTCAACTTTGGCTGACCAGCCGTAGTCCGTCTCACACCCAACACCATCTGCATGTTTGTCTTTCTCGAACAAATCCGCGGCGCCATCGACCTGTTCCGTAACAAGTCCTCCGGCGTCGTCGACTCGCCTGTCGCGTAGGATGGGGATCGTCAGCATTCCAATACTAGATCATCGTAGAATCTTAGATCGTAGAATTTTAGAACCTCGCTCTCTCTCTCTCCGTCCGATTGTGCTGGTATGGTCGGGAGGACTGTACGACCATTATATTATACTCTTATCCATGCATCTCTCACGTCTAGAGAACGGTCGCGTCGTGATAACCTATATGGAATGCCTACAAACTTGTTTTCTTGACGAGCTCATAGAAGATGCTGACTCAGGTAGCTCGCATCCCCGACATCAATTTGCCCTTCATCGCTCATCAGGTCCCGCAAATATCTACTTTGCTCCTCGAACTTTTCCCGCACAGCCTCAAGTCTAGCATCCCGCTTGGCTTGTTCCTCGAGCAGCACCTCATGTACTGTCCTTCCCGAATTGTCTGGCATGAGCCAAGAAGGTCCATAGTCCACCTTTAATTGCGGCGTATCGTCTCGCATCTTCGAGATGTGTGATACTGACGATAACCTTTTGTCTTTCTGGGAGATCTTGTAGAGACTGATGGGAGAATAGTCTGTAGAGTAGAAAAAGCTGGTGGACGAGGAATAACCGCTCAGAACGTCGTTCAACATGCTCGGCATGGTAGACCTGTCGAGGAACACGACCCCGTCCCTCCTTCTTTCCCCGAGGTCACCATGATTGAAGCTGATCGACAAGTCATCTCGACTGTCCTGCCAGCTGGTATTTGACGATGCTGGGGTACGATCAGGCGAGAAAACATCCACAGGGGTGGCATTGCTGTCTGTGACTGAATCTTCATCGAGACGCCATCCCACAGATCTGGCAACACCTATCTCGAGATCAGAGGATCCTTGGGACTGGCTGCCATGATGATCAGCTGCTGTATCGTGGTGCCCTCCCTCTGATCTGACCACGGCATGAGAATTTAGGTCGGCTCCCACCGACTCCCGGTGGCTCATCACGTCCAAGCCCCGTCTTTCTTCTTGAATGGGGTGCGACCTCAAGGGATCAATATCTAGCGTCTCATCCATATCCGTGGCCAAGCCAGTGCTTGAACGGTTGTAGATATCAGAAAGGTCCCGAATTCCTTGCTTCCTCATCAAGTTTGGCGATTTATTGGCTCTGGCGTGGAACAATTTGCCTTTGGCGGTGGCGACGAGGCTGCGAACGGTGCTCGCTGGACTTGTGAAGAGAGATCGGATTTGTTGACGACTGGAAGTAGTCGATGTCGTCCCCAATGAGCGTCTTGACGAATGAGGACTGGAGCGACGATCGACACTACCTTCCCGTGACACCTCTCGCTCCACATCTTGATGTACTTCACCATCATGGTCAGGTCTTGAGCTAGCGACGTGTCCCCCAGCCTGAGACTTTGAGTTATCAATGTGGCCATACTCTGCATGCTTTTCGTCCCACGCGTCTTCAACATGGCCAGGAAAGACCTGTGGCCGGATGGGCGTGGGGTGATGGAGCGAGGGGTTTATGGTCCTGGTGCTCGAATGAGAGCTTGCTTCCTCCCTCTGCTCACCGTCCGCGTCCTCGGCAATGTTGTGAAGCTCGTGAGGTATGTGAAATTCGATAAGAGAAGGCGGAAGACTATCGTAATCCTCCTCCAAATTGATAGCGATTTCCTCTCGAGGCGCAGACGAATACGACGAATACGACGAATCAGATTGATTTCCGTCTGAGCGTGAGTCGTATCCGTCTTGCAGGTCATCTTCGCTGATGAACGAATGATCGGCCTTTCGACTCAGAGATGCGAAAGGTAATATCGACCCCATCCTCTTCCTGGTCTTGTTATACCACCCCTCCTTATCGTGCCGCGGACTACCCAAATCTGTCAGGTCCGCTTTGCTTCCATATCGAGAAGATCGAAAAGACCTTGTGTCTGAATAGTAGGCTGAGTCTGCGGCGGAGAGGGTAGGGTCCTGGCCACTCGCGCTCGAGGCATTGTAGAACCACTTACTCATACGGCGGAGAGGCGGCCTCTGGGGGTTCCGATTGATGTCACTCATGGACTACAGGGGATGTTATCTTTGCAGGGTGTTCTTTCGATATGGCCGGCCTGTCTGTATGCGACTATCCGGTCGTTTGATCGTTCCTGGGCGTGAAGCGGTGATTTTGGCAGGGGCGAGTAGTGAGTGATCAAGGGTACTGAAGAGGAGCGGCGAATGGGCAGCGACTGTAGAGTCCATGGAAGAGTAGAAATGTCCGACGAAAGGAGAGGGTATAGTGTTCAAAGGTGAGTCATAGAGAGAGATGGCGGTCACGTGGTTGTGCGCAGCGGTACGCGTTGAGACCAGGGCGATCGATAGGCTGCCGTGAACATCTCTCGTGTTTTTACCATCCATCCTACTCCAGATAATGCTCGAGGAAAAGTACATCGGGCTGGGGCTCGCCTTGGGAGGGACATTCCTCATCGGGTATGTGCAGCGCGTCTACCATGGCCTGGCTTTTCACGCGATGGCGCTAATTATCTATATCGTACAGCTCCAGTTTCATCATCACAAAAAAGGTGGGCTAACAGAAGAGAGTGACAACCACATATATTCAACTCACACGCATCGCAGGGGCTCAACGACGCGGCGGCTCGATCCGATGAATACCCCCACTCCCATCAACGGTCAAATAACTCGCGTAGCGCCTGTATGTCTCTGCTGCTCTTCTTTTCCGACTGAGTGGCTCATGTCTGGTGATAGCGGATGATCTGGCATATCTACAAAATCCCATCTGGTGGGCTGGTATGATCACTAGTGAGTCAAAGCTACTGCCGTGGTCGCATTCACTAACTCTGTACCTCAGTGGTTGTCGGAGAAGGTATGCCTCATAAGCTGGTTTGTGGGACTGATGCGTGTTGCAGTGGCCAACTTTGCGGCTTATACTTTTGCCCCGGCTATCTTGGTTACACCACTCGGTGCCATGAGTGTGATTATAGGGTAAGTTTCGGCCCGTGACAATACAGGCTTGGCGGCTGACTTCGTCTCAGAGCTATCCTGGCATCGTTCCTTCTTGATGAGAAACTTGGTCGACTAGGTGTTTGCGGATGCGCCGCCTGTATTGTGGGTCAATATCAACCCTACAGGCGCGTATAGATTGACGTTTGCTTGTAGATCGGATCGGTCGTCATTGTCCTTCATGCTCCCTCCGACAAGGAAGTGGAGACTGTCGACGAGATATTGAGCTATGCCGCTCGTCCAATCTTCCTCATATATATCACCTTTGTCGGCGTCTTCTCATTGTTCATGATCTATCGCGTTGTTCCGACACATGGCACCAAGAACCCTATGGTCTACCTTTCGATTTGCTCTCTTGTAGGAAGTGTCTCTGTCATGGCTATCAAGGTTTGTCTTGCCTCTATCAGTGTAGTGCCTATGCTCATGGAATCTACAGGGCTTCGGCGTGGCATTGAAATTGACGTTATCCGGCAACAACCAATTGACGCACGTCAGTACCTACGTGTTCCTCGTTGTCGTTGTAGGATGTATTGTTGTGCAGATGGTATGTCACTGTTCCTTCTTCCCAGAAATCGCTCATACCAGGTCATAGAATTACTTCAACAAAGCACTGGATACTTTCTCCACCAATGTGCAAGTTCCAACATACCCCCTCGATATATCTGTGCTCATCGTTCAATCAGTGTCAACCCCATTTACTACGTCTTCTTTACGACCGCTACAATCATCGCCTCTGCCCTTCTCTTCTCGGGTTTCAACACCCCTGGCGGCGTCAACACCATCTCTCTCATATGCGGTTTCCTCACCATCTTTATGGGTGTCTACCTTCTCAACATCTCTCGTGAACCCGAGACACCGCATCCCACTACCAGTCTGGAGTCTGGTCTCATGAGTGAGCCCTCCTCATTTGTTTCTTGCTTGTAGCAGCTAACATGAGCAACTAGACCCCCGGATGAGTATGTCCGGTCGACTTTCAATGGAATCCAATGGTGCCGGATTTGGCTACGGTGCCGTCCCAGGTTCCTCTTACGCCGCCGACGGCTCTCTCCAGTCGGCCGGCCATGGGCGTCGCTCCAACCTTTACCGCGCTCAGAATTCTACGCTTTTCAACGCTTTTGAAGAAGAAGGCGTGCCGCTGGGGGAGTTACCGGAGGAGGATGAGTCGTCAGATGACGAAGGAGGGAGGAGGGGCCAGAGGGGGCAACAAGGGCCGGGAAGGAGCTTGCTAGGTGGAAAGAAGGGGAGGGAAGGGGATGTTGAAGGGGGAAGGCATCCTGCTTATCAGGACTCGGGGCGATGAGGCCTGTAGAGGGGTAGAGGTGATCAATGCATAGGTGTGATGATCGTTGCAGACTCTGGCTACGTGACTTGTACACAGGTTCTCTGGACATTGGTCATTCCAAGACTCAACGCACTGCGTGTCAGCCTCCGCCCCGATGCGTCGAGCTTGCAAGTCATCTTCACAAGCTCATGCAGTGATTCGACCACGGCCCCGGGACCAACCATGATACAACAGTGAAAGTCCTGACAGCTCACAGCCACCGCTTGACAATCCACACGCATGCAAGTACTACACTATAGAAAGGAGGGGCACGTAGAGGGATCGACTTCGGCATCGCCCAACAGGATCGAGTTCTTTCGCGGTATTATGGACCCAGAGGGATCAGTAAACAAGGGTAGCCAAGTCCTAATATAGCATTCAAACACCGCAACGAATAAGGCCTCATCAGCGCATCTAAATGCATAACGGCCCCCTGTATACAGCTAGCCATGCCATACCTACATATAGGGCGTCACACTCAGCTACATTGGATCCTTTCACAGTATCGTGAGGTTGAGGTTGGCCGGAGAGTAAGTCACACTCTCAATCTGCAATTCTATCTCCACTCAGGCTAACATCTCAGCCATTGTTCAGGTGGCGAGCCTGCCGCCCTTTGTAGACGATCTTTCCATTGTCTTCTTTATTCTGTATGAAACCAGCGCAGTTCTGAGGGACCCAGGAAGCAACAGTACATCAGCACATCTGGACGATATTCGAACCGGGAAATCCACAATGGCCCGATCTCGTTATGACGCGAACGAAACCCTCGAATACATCATTGGCGACGATGGCGAAGAGTATGAATACGAAAGAGAAGCGCCGGACCCATCGATGGGATTGCACCCCACCTATCCTCCGAGGCTCAGCTCGAGGTGGATAGACCGTAGGTCGCACATTGGCCCACTGCCGGACGTGAGACAGTCTCCCATCAGTTTCGACGCTGGAGCTCTTGAATCTTCTCTTCCATCAGGGGTGGGTATTACTTCATTATGAGAGTCCTTACATTAATGAGATATTTGACGAGTAGGATGAGTCGGCCACGCTCGGCTACGCTGGAACCCATCCCGAGACTGGACGTCGAGCAAGCCAGTCATCATCGAGGAGTGATCATCAGAAGCGCGAGGTGAGTACTTGTGATGACCACTCTGCAGCCGGCTCTTCCTCTGCACTTCACCCAACACAGACTGGTACCCCCGGCCCCCATCACGATTCTGCTGGAGAGTCGCACAACAACTATATGTATGTCAGCATTGAAGAGAGTTTCACCTATCGCGAATCTTATCATCCCACACCAGTGTCAGTGACTGATGGATGCTTCACCTCTGCTGTTGAAAGCCAGAGTGGGTCAGGTGGACCTTTGATCACTACAAAGAATCACGTTGATTATACGAAGCCAAAATACGATTGGGAGAGCCAAGCATTGTCTTCACCGACATCAACTACTGGAGAGTCTGCAGGGAGATCGAGCAAGGCTCTCAAGAAGAAGAAGAGCTTGTTAAGCTTGCTCAAAGAGGAATGACCATGAACTGTACTTTGGCTTCTTAATCGTTTATCATCGCATGTATGGCTCTCGGCCCGCACATATACGGCAATGGAAGACTACCCAGCAGATGTTAGGACACACACAACACGGATTTCGCTATACGAATACACTACTCAAGTATCGCTATACGAATACACTACACAACATACTTGAGAGTAGACAAAAAGGCAAAAAGTTAAAGGACCGACAGGATTCGAACCCGTGACCGCAAGATGAAACTCCAGTTTTTAAGACCTCGAAGTCTTGAATGCTACCACTGCAACACAGTCCCTTGATGGAAAGCTGGGAAATTTGACAATATATATACAGTAACGACCAAAGAAAGATGGGCGAGATGATGGGGCGCGTCACTGCGTCTTGTCGCTTGCATCCGACTCTTTCATTGTCTCTCGCTCCCACCACTCATCAAAATGCCGATCCCCTGGCACCCGCCCCCTTCTGGCCCATCCCAACCTCCCCATCCCTCACCACCTTCCTACCCTTCGTCATTTGGGACAGACTCAGATATCGACTCGGGCAGCGATATCTCCTCCGACGACGAGTCGGAGCTAGATGCCATGATTCAGGAGGAGTGGGAGGAGTCGCTGAGACAATTCGAGGTGGTTGTTTCTATCGTTGTCATCCCGTATTTTGGAAAATGGTTCGGGAGAAAATGGGCCTTCTGGGGTGGGTCGGCCGTATCTTCCTTGTAATGCCTGTGCTGACTATCTTCCAAGCATACGAAAGATATCAAACCATCGGCATAGGGAAGGCATTTTTTGGCCTTCTGTAATCTCATAACGACTTGTAATCAAGATCAGATGTATCCATCCACATGCACTTTACTCGACACCATCCCCACTGCTGTGTCCTGTAGGCGATACTCTACCTCTTTCTATCGATGTTATCTATGAGCCTCGCCAACGCACCCTTCTCCGGCTTGTATTCCCTTCTCGTCATCTCTCCCATGACCTCATCCACCTCTGCCCATTTAGAAGCGCTGGAAAGCGCACTGAGTAGTAGCAAGTAGGTGTCGCTGTTGGGGTTGACCTTTTGCCTTAGCATCTTGTGCCACAACATCATCATCGTATCCACCGTCCCTCCCCCCCCAGCCCCGAGTTGCCTCAACATCATATTGTACGCAACCCTATTCAGCCTGATTCCCAGCTTCTCCATCCTCTCTATGGCCTCCCAAGCTTGCCCATCCCATCCTCCATAGAAGTAGCCGGAGATCAACGCCGTCCAGGTTACTTCATTCGTCCGCATATTTTTCTGATGCATCAGTCTCAGCATTTCCTCAGCATGCTCCAGGCCCAGCTTGGTCCCAGGTTTCGCCAGGTCGGCAATCAACATACTGCACATGCGCTGATTGGGCACAATGCCTTGCTTGTGCATCATGTCCATGGCACCCTTGGCCAAATCCAAGCGCCGAGCGCGAAGCAGCCCTTGGACCAGCGTGGTATAAGTGACCACATCTGGAGCGAGGCCTAGTTCCACAGCTTGTTGAAACAGGGCAGACATGCTAGGAATATCTGCTTCGCGTGCATGGTGGCGAAGGACGGTGTTGATTGTGATGAGATTGCAAGGGATTGCAGAGTCGGGGCGTGAAGCTTGGGCAAAAAGATCAAGCGCGATGATAGGACCGTCCAGGGGAACGAGAAGGCATGCAGAGATCATCTGGTTGAGAGCGTGGATAGGAGGAAATGGTGAATCAGGGCCTGTTGAAAATCATCAGTCATGCAAGCAGAGTTCTGTGCTTACTCACGTAGCTTTTCTTCTCTGAGATAGTTGTGCTTACACGCCTCGTCTTTCACAAGTTCGCCCCATGCCTCCTTCAACCCATCGAGATCCCCGAGCCTTCCCAGACCTTCCAGATACATCATGTACATCTTGAGATCTCTTTCTCCGCTTTCTTTCCAAGTGCTTTTCAGATTGCTCAGAGCTCCCTGCTCGCCAGATCTTCGCTCATCTGTGCCCAGTTCAAACACTTCGTGCCCCGCCCTCAACCCCGTGTCTTCGTCGGGTCTCACTCTCAGAGCAAGTAGGGTATATGCGATGACTTTAGGAAGGGGCTTGGGACACAGAGACAGCACTTCAGAGGCATACTGAGTGAATGCAGGTGGGGGTGGATCGACGGGGATGTCGGCAAGGTGGGGGACAGGCCGGCGAAACGTGAGAAGGAATGAAGAGAGGACCGAGAACCGTATATCGGGAGAAGGGTCGAGTATTCCTTCGGCGGAAGTGTCATGCGACATCGCGGAGTAGACGTTACGCCACAGCAGTACGATAGCCTCCCAGTCCCCTCGATTGCGCATACTGGCCAGCTCGGCTTCAAGTGCATCCTTGGTTCGAGGCAGGTGATCCGAGGGTTTGCCAGCACTCATGAGAGTCGACAGTGCCTCGGAATAGTTTTGACCGTCTGATCCAGTAGCTTTGAGGGCATCGGCGATGAATTCTTGCACATCCTGAGCTCTGGGCCAGACATACGATTGATTCGTATCATCCTTCACCCCGACCGATTGTCTCAACACTGCCCAAGCACCAACGATTTCCGGCCCCAAGACTGGTGTGGCCCCGCTAATCGAGAGACCCTTGAGAACAGACTCGAGTCCATCGAGGTATGTTCTGAGTTGCTCGACATTGCCCAACGAGCCAAGCGCCTCCCGAACTAATGCTCGACCGTAGACGTCGCCTATCCGCTGAACGTTCTGTCCAACGAACAGGCCTTTTGTCGCTGTACGGAGGTAGCAGTGGCCCAGAAGGACAAGGATCTGCCGCCGTTCTTCAGCTGACAAATCCCGTTCTTCGAGAAGCGGGGCAACAAGGGGAGCTATCGTCCGTATATGCGGGTCTAGGTGGGATCGCAAGGTACGCCGAAAGACGAGAGGATATGCGGCGTGTAGCACCTGCTTAGGGATTGGTTGGGGAGAATGGTTCCAAGCCGCTTGAAACTGAGCCTTCAATAAGGAATCCGTGACCTTGTGCTTTGGCTGTTGTAACGTCAGTGTACGATTTCGTGCCAGCAATAACGCATACTCACAGCAGTAGCTCTTGGTGATCCCTGTGATCCCACAGCAAATTCATTGCTCTTCCTCGTTTGCCGGGGCCAAGCGTTAGTCGAGTGGCTCTGGGATTGGGCCTGTAGTCGAGTGTTGGCTTGACAAACGACACATACAGGTCTACTCGGCGCGGTCCTGCCTAGCAAAGCTAAGCCTTTCACGGCCTGGTGTCGGATTCCAGAGGACATGTTCAACCTCTGGTAACGACCTGGAGTAGCCTGGAGAGTGTCAATGCGAGTGCTTGATACTCGAGTGTTGCATTGGCAAGATTGTAGCTTGAACTTGTGATACTCCCTTGAAATTTCGGATTTGCTTCCGGTTCCTTCCCGAGCGCGCTCCTGGCCTCCGCGGCATCTGGCCGTGGTATGTACAATTGACTCCATCTACTGCATCCTGCTAGACATCAGGAAATGCCCCCCAAACCGCCCAAAACAAGATACTTCAAGGGCAAGGCCCCAAACGCTGCCGTATCAGAATCAGAGTCGGACGACGATGACGAAGAGGAGGTCGATTTTCGACAGCAAAATAGAAACAAGAACACCCAGCTGGATCCAAACGCAGTTGCTGGTGGTGCCGGAAAGGTAATCAGCGATGTTCGCGAAATATATGCAAAGAAAGGAAAGGGGATGGAGATGAACCTAGGAGGGGCGAAGATAGGAAGAGGAGTCGGGGATGGAGGTGTCAAATGTGAGTCTTTCGCGTGACCTTTCGAATGTTGCCTTATACATTTAGTGGAAGAGTCATCAGGAGAAGAAGAAGAGGAGAGCGATGAAGAAGATCAGAATGGGCCGCCCAAGTCTACAACACAAGCCAAAGAAGAAGAGTCCAGCGAGTATGAGACCGACTCTGAGGAGGAGGAATCGGAGGAAGAGCCACCAAAACCTGTCTTCAGACCCGTCTTCGTCCCTAAGTGTGTCTGATGGCCAAGTCATAGAAGAAGGCTGACACTCTGCAGGGACTCGAGAAATACGACTGCCGAGAAGGCTGCTGCCGAAGCCGAAGAAGCGCGGAAGAGGGAAGAAGAGATGGAGCAAGAGCGTAAACAAGCGTCAAAAGAACTGGCTGGAGAGACTATCAGGCGTGAACTCGCTGAGAGTACGTCACATCAATCAATTTTGAGTCGTATACTGACCCACGACACAGAGGAAGCCGCCAAAATCGTTCACGACATCGATGACACCGACGGCCTCGACCCCCAGGCCGAATTCGAAGGCTGGCAAGCGCGAGAACTAGCCCGTCTTCTTCGCGAAGAGAAAAGGCAGGCAGAGAGGGACGCTGAGAAGGAAGAGATCGAAAGAAGGCGCGCTATGCCAGAGGCAGAGAGGCTGAAGGAAGATATGGAGCATGCACAGAAGACGAGGGAGAAGGAGAAAGGGGAAATGGGCTTTTTGCAAAAGTATTACCACAAGGGTGCTTTCCATCAGGTATGTCTTATCCATGCCTTACTCCTGGATTTCTGCTGACCCAATGTTGTGCAGGACGATGAGCTGCTGAAACGAGACTACGCTGGAGCGACTGAATCCTCTGTCGATATGACCATGCTCCCAAAAGTCATGCAAGTTCGGGACTTTGGCAAAGCTTCGAGAACAAAATACACTCACTTGGCAGATCAGGACACGAGCCAAGGTGGATGGGGTGCTGCCACTAGGGGAGGCGGAGGTGGCGCTGGTGCTGGGTGCTTCAACTGTGAGTCCATCTGCGGTCTGCCGAGTTTGCGGGCTGACATCGCTTGCTAGGTGGGGGTCCGCATCTTCGGAGAGACTGTCCTAACAACGACCTTAATGGCCCAAACATGATTGGCGGAGTTTCTGTCCCGGGCGCCTTTGCTCCTGTCGGAGGAAGCGGGGCCAATACTGCAGCTCTTGCCGTGGGGTCCAGATCATGGGGAGGTAGCGGAAATGGGCGTGCCAACGGAGAGGAACGACGAACAGACGATCAATCAGCAAGCGGCAGCACTACGAGGGATAGTCGGGATAGGAGGCACGGGGCAGAGAGGATTGACTCTCGGAGTGACAGGGATGATTACAAGCGCAGCAGGGATCGAAGCGGGGACAGGGCACACAGGCATCGAGAGAGATCTCGAGACCGGGAGGATCATGGCCGCGACCGTGACCGCGAGAGGCGCAGAGACAGCGAAAGAGGATATCATGGGCGGGAAAGAGACAGTCGAAGGGATAGCCCAGGACGTAAGAGGGATCGAGATGACCGGGAGAGGGATTATGATAGACACGACAAGCGTCGGAGAGAAGACTCTGATAGGAATAGAGATAGGGACAGGCGGAGATACGACTAGAAGTGTTAGCCAGGAGTATGTCCATTTCGTGTTGCTTCAGCATATTGTCGAGCAATGACCATACCATCCTGGACAAGATTGTCTAAAGAGTAGTCACATATCCATGCTACAAGCTACGGCGCTCAAGCACTTTGAGCCTTCTTCGCCTGCGCATCGTCATACACCTTCTGGTTGAGCCCGGCCCTATTTCTGGCAATCTGGAAAGGTATTAGAAACATCGTGCAGGGTGAAGAGACGACTGACCTCGATAGCGAAGAATTGGACACGGGTGACGAGAATGGAGTTGGTTTCGGTGTAAAGCTCATCTGAGCGAGCTCGGACAAGGGTACCAAAGTTGTAGTCGGTCACTTTCTTCTCATACTAGAATCACGATACAGATTAGCGACAGAAGATTGATAGAATTGATACTTACAGGCATAATGAAGTTCCTCCATCTCTCTTTCCCCTGTCGAGACTTCATCTCATCTTCGTTCAGTGTTCTCAGATTCTCCTCAAACTTGAATTCGGGAAACACTTCCAGCAAGTTTTCATAGATTCCATCATCGATCCTATCAGGATGTGTCAGGTAAGTTCCCAGTCTCTATTGATCTGTAAAGGGCAGTACATACGGGGTAAATTTGATCAGCTTGGGAGGAAGAGTTTGGAGAATCTTTTCGTAAGCCTGCACGAGAATCAGTGTTGAATCACTCAATCTATACAACGTGCTTACCTCGAGGTGCTCGACAGTCTTGACGGCAAATTGCATTTCAATCTCTCCGGCGTTCCCTGCGGTTTCGGGGTCAAAAGCGGTCGCCATGGCTGGTAGGTTGGATTAATGTGGTAATTTGGGGGAGCAATAGGTGGCGGCGTATCGTATCGGGACGAAGTGTAGACCTGGTAGTGTGGCCGATTATATGTTGATGCTGCAGAAGGTTCTTCAAAATATCAAAATCCCTATCAAAAGCCGTCGAATCCTCCAGCGTCATCGTCGAGTTTTTGCCGGCGACTTTCTTATTTGGTCCCACTTTACAGTACGTTGAGTTCGTTGTCCGCGGTCTAGTTGACTGATTCGTATCGCAGGAGCAATGATCGTGTCTACCAACAAAACACATACATTGCGCTGGAGACTATCGTGAAAGGACATATCTACGCTACATCAAGAATAGGTCAAGGGGTATGATCTATGGGGTATGATCTATGAGGAATGATTATAAATAAAAGCCATGTTATAACGTGTCTGTACTCGAGTACTCATATACCTAAAAAGTCCGTTGTTGTCGTCAGGTTCCAAATGGTGCACGGCGTAAACTCTACTAGCGCCGCAACCTTACGCTCAGGAGGAGAAGCCGAAGCGCGCCCTATCCTCGTCTTTCAACCACTTGCCGTCCACGTACTTGCTCTTCACGAATGCCTTCAGTTCGTCCCCGGACGCTGGTCTGTGTCCCCCTTCTAGCAAGGCTTCCCACACAGTATTGGCTCGGATGTTGCCCCATTCTCGAGCAGAGGCGACCTGCTTCAGGGTCCAGTTGTCCATGTCGACGGAACGCGTCTTTGATATGTGTGTACCGAGGGAGCGGTGAATGCCGATGCACCGAATGCAGAGGAAGAGGACAATAGGTTTGCCGTGAAGACCTGGTACACGATTAGCGTTGTCTGATCACTTGGCGCACAATAACGTACTGATGGTCGCCCATCGACTGGCTTTCATACCTCCACCACAATCTGCACACCTCGAATTCCCTTCCTCGGCAGCAATCTTTCTCAACACCCTCTTCTCGTCTGCCTCGTCAAGTTGGCCGTCGTCACTCTTTGACCGCGTCATGCCTTCACCGCCTTGTTGATGCTTTTGGGAGTGTTTGCGCACGGCCTCGCTTTTGACTCGGCGTTTGGCACTGGTCGGGCTCTCTCCCGGAGCAAGGCGAGTGGCAGTGGTAGGAGATGAGCCCAGACCAAGGCCAGCCATCTCAAGGACGCGTTTCTCAATCTCTCCATCAGCCCAAGACGATTTCACGCCTGGTGGTGTACTGATAGGAGGTAGAAGCTGGCTCTGTGAAAACTCGGCACGTCGCGATGCGGTCTCTGGCGCAGAAGGAGGCAAGCTTTGTCTGTTGGCTCCTTTCCCAAACACAGGCCGAGAAATCTCCAGTCCGCCAAAGGAGTTGCGCTTGGGCTTTTCAGGATGTTCACTTGACCCTGATCCGCCCGCCATAGCGGTGGAAAACCTCTCACCGCTGGATTTGAGCACCTTCTTCAAGCTTGTTTTCCTCGTCCGAGGTTCGGCAGTGTCCCTTTCAACGGGAGTAGGAGGCATCGATTTTCTGCCATTAGGTATCAAGCCTAAGCCCATGCTCCGTCCTGAGAAGGCGAGGTTGTACTTGGATCGGGTTGGGAGGGCATGGTCGTCGTAAGCACCGGAGGGACCTCGACCCTTGGTTTGATCGATGGTACGGACAGTCGAGGTACCGTTAATACATGATTCGATGGCGTTGCAGATGGCATAAAGCCATTGCTATAGATGTTTAGTCGGGGATTATTCACTAGCGGGTATAACTCACCTTCATCTCTTGGTCTGAAGTAGCTTGATACAACCGACGACCTTGTGACGGAGTGACAATTTCAAAGACTAGACCGAGTCAGCAGCTGGCCGATAACGAGGGCGAATGTCTGCTCACCGAATCGCCTGTCTGTGCCTCTGCCTTCTCGAACACTTGCAAATTTCAAATCAATGGCCGCATGCGCTCCTCCCGGTGGCCCCGAGCTTCCATCATCTCGATACTACGCAAACAATGAGTCACTACATCAACGGTGAATCTCCCGGCTTACCTCAAAGATGCTTGAATGGTCCAACACCACCCAGTACTTTTCCCATTTGCCCTTCCCGCCAGCACCCTTGTTCAAGCCCTCCCAAGTACCCATACCCCACAGCACCCCTTCTTTTTTCCTCCCGGCCTCTTCGCGCTGCTCATCTTCATCACCACCTGCTCCTAGACCCCCTACACCACCAACGCCAATACTGGCACCCGTCGGATGACCCAGCCCGATCGCAGATTGCTCTGGCTGCGTAAGACTAGGCGTGGGGCTCGGTCCGAAATTCAGAGGACGAGAGCTGTCCATACTATGCCGGAGTTTCTCACTGCTGATGCCTAGTCTCAGATCTGGCGAGCTCTCGAATGGCGACGGGAGTTTTATTGACGCGTCGTAATCGGTCGGGCTTGACATGGTAGTAATCAAGGGCGCGATATAGTCGGCACCAGGCATGTGTACAGAATGCCGCGTCGTCATGAGCGGACGCGCTGTTTCTTTTGGTGGAGGCGGGGGTGGCATTGAAGCCGCCGCATGAGTTGCAACTGAAGGCGTAGGCATGGACGTGCTGGTGTCATGTGAGGAAGCAGGAGGCAGGATCGATGTAGGAGTAGGGGGCGATTTCGTGGCGACGAGGGTTGGGGTCGACTTGATGTGATAGTCTGGTGTCTCTTTGTGCGTGGATAGTTTATCTATGCCTATGGTGCTCGATCTGCGGATGGGTTCTCCCTTCGTTTCGCGGCGAGCACCATCAAAGCTTGCCCTAGAGGATCTGTCCATGTTTGAGGCCAGAGTAGTTGTGGAACCGCTCGCCAGGGAGTACGAGCTGGAGGAAGGAGACAGGAACTCTCTCAGTCGTCCACCCATGGAGCGCCCCAGCTTGGTCTTCTTTGGCTTCTTGTATTCGACCCCAGATGAGGATACACTGGCCATGGCGTTTCCGCTCCCCTGGCTCAACCCCAACTCAAGACCTTCGCCAACTTTGACATTGCTAGAGTTGTCTTGCCAGACATCAAGCTCAGTCTGACGCTTGTAAACTTCGTCCTGGAGGAGACGTGTCTGTTCCTCTCTCTGCGCCCAGGCGGCAAGTAGATCAGATCGGGTGGAGGCGAGCTGGGAGAGGCAGGAGGAGAGGCTGGTCTTCAAGTGTTGAGGTGTTTGAACAGGAGTGGTGCTTCTGCGAAGCTGTTCAGGACGGGACTGTGAACTCCGACGGATCATTGTCGACGAGTTTTCATCTATCCCCTCCAACACCGCAGCTGGGTGCTCGCCCACGATCGCTCCCGCCCACCCATACAGCCCGACCAGTAGATTGAGGAGCTCTTCAGAGCTGGGAGGGGCTGCAGAGAGCAACATGGAATGATGCGTGTACCGCGTCAGGTCCCACTGGGCGAGACGAACGGCTTGAGCCTGGTCGTAGGCCGGATGTGAGGCTGTAGAAGAGGCCGACGCTTGTTGCGTGTGGGACGATGATGGGGGAGGGGACTGGGGAGCGAGGTATACTGATGTGGCATGGTAAAACTGTTTTGCGTTTGTCTATGCCGGATTAGAGCATGTCATACCGAATGCAGCCGTACCCACCTCGTACTTGTTCTGCGCGCCGCCGCCAGCGAGCCCTCGACGTTTGAGATGCGCCTTGACATCTTTCAGCCCCTGCTCGATTCTGACTTCCGTCTCGACTCGTTCCCTTCGTCGTTTCTCCTTGTTGATCTTACGAATCCCATCGTCTTCCCAAATGCCACTCTTCTCTCCCTTGATCTGTACATCATAACCGCTCTCTAGCCACCGCCCGAGTTCGGCAACAGCGCCAAACAAATCATCCTCGGCTTTTTCGAGCTGCTCTGACAGTGTATGCGCTACTGCAGCATACGCAAGCACCGTTTTTGACAGCCTTTTGAATGTAGAGGCTGAGCTGTCGAGTGCGGACAGGGTATGCTTGAAGAGTAAAGAATCTGGCACGGGTTTGATGGGTAGTAAACTTTCGAGTTGCGCGTTCTGGGACGCTGTTGTGGGTATCGTGCCCGAAGAGACTCTGGGTGTGCTGTGGTGGCTGGAGCCTGACGGTTGGCGAAGTCTGCTCGAGAAGTCTGCCCCGCCAAGTGCAGGGCTGGGCAAGGGCGACGGTCCCTGGTCCTCGGATACACTTGAGAAGGAGAGGGGCGAGGGCTGGCACGGGAAGGGCGGCGGGGTGGCGAGGGGTAGCTGTGCCATGGGGGCGGCAGGGGAGCAGGGTATAGAGAAGCACAAAATCACAAAATCACAACACGCGAAGACATCTTGAAGCGAAATCGGAGAGTGCCGCGTCTCACTTTATACTTCTCTGACTCCAGCGAGCGACTGAGAGCACAAGGGCAGCATGTCAATGGTAGCAGATGTCGGGTGAGTGCAGCGTCCCATAGACCATCCTGACCATCCACAGCTTCATGCTCCAGGCCATCCGGCTGGCATCACTACGGGCCACTGACGACCCTCTGTCCCCTCGCATCATCTCCCTTGACCCATCTTTCGGAGCCAATCCCTACATCAATGCCTCGGGACTATCAGATCTGGACCGCTGGCCTGAAATCGGCCGAGCACTCGACTCTCCGCCCCTCGATGGAGGTTTCCTATCAGGCCAGACTCCAGGCTCGCGACCAGACGACGAGGACGAGGGCAAGCGGGGCGGAGGTCTCAAGTATACGCAGACCATCATGGGTCCCGGAAAGCTGGGAGGCGCTGGTATGCGAGTCTCGGGAAGACACGCCAACCCGGGAGAGTCGAGAAGAGGGCAAGCGATAAGAGCCAACTCTTCAGCTTCAATCCCGAGCGCTCGTAGCCCGAATCCGCCCAAAGGTCAAGAGCCGTCATTAGCGTCCGACACGGTGCCCGAGAACGACCTTTTCACACCCTCCGTACGGCCAAGAGCAGACTCTGCCCCTATGCCTGGACCTCTACCCAGCTCGCCTCGGCATCTGGCATCTAGCGTACTGAGCACCGGCAAAGGAGCGACTGCTGGTCTGCTACAACGAGTCCTGTCTTCAAGTCAGATGTCGGCAGGGTCGAATTTTGGTATGGACGGTACCGCCCTGGTTGCGACGCCAGAAGAGAAAGGGTCGTCCATAGGCATCGAGGCGACCACTGGCACACAGACAGGCGTGGACGCTCGGATGGTCGCCGGTCTGGAGGATCAGGGGAGTGATGTCGACGAGGAAGAGGCTGCCGAAGCAGACGTCAGAGGTTCAGGCCGAGAGGCAACAGCTATCCCAGGATCTAGAAGAGCATCTGTGGATACTACCAGCATTGAAGAGAATCTTGACTTTACACCAATACCGATTGTCTCGCCATCATTGTCAGTACCCAGACCTTCGGCTCTGACAAGTACTCTCAACAAGTATGTGCCCCATCTTGTATCAACTGGTCCCAAAGACGCTTCCGGCCCAATATCTCCGATCGCTGCCGCCCCCATCAATCCTTTCTACTCGCTATACTCTTCTATCGCTGCGCCACCCGGTGCGCCGTTCGAATCGCTCGAGCTGTACTTTCCACATTCCAAGAATCCTACTCAACCTTTGGTGGGGAAAGTGAGAAAAGATGCCACAGTAGAAGAGGTCACTGGATATGGATTGTGGAGGTATTGGGAGGAGGGCAGAGAGCCGAAATTGGAAGAAGAGGAAGGAGATGTCAAATGGAGCTCGGTTGGATGGGGCTTGCGGATTGTGGAAGATGATGGCGAGGTGGATGAAGATTTCCCTCGTACGTTCTATCATACGGTACCGTCGTATATCGCTGACGGCATTCTAGCTTTGGACAGGGAGAGTAAAATATCCAAGTTCTCATACGGCCAATTTGCCATAGTCGAAGCAACTGAAGAACAAAGTGCGTGGCTGCACTACCCTATTGGCCCATCTCCTAACTCCTCTTGTAGTCCGCCAAAATGCCTCCAAGGCACCCACTATCCCTCGTCGCCCCTCCCGCGTCATCCCTGTCCCCGCCTCAGCCGCCCGCCCCGTCCCGCCCCCCACCACCAGGCAACCAAGCACCACCCTTGCCCCTCCCCGACCGAACCAACCTCCCAGCGCCTCCTCATCCTTCTCTTCCAGCGAATTCTTATTGACGATCCCGACGGCTGGGAATGCGGGTGGTAAGCTGGGCAGCTCGATGGCGATGAAGGGCAGTGTAGGATTGAGCTCGACGGGGAGTGATGTGGTGAGACTCAAGGTGAAGGTGACGGCGAGCGCAGATGTGCACTTTACGACGACAATCAACGTGTACGTATCCCATCCTTGCTTTCCTCCAGCCTATTGACATCCAGCTCGTAGACCGGCAGACATGTACATTGCAGACCTGACCGAGGTGCTCTGCAAAAAGAAACGTCTTCAAATGCCACCACAGGACTGGGTACTTTGTCTAGCCGACTTGACCCTGGCTTTGCCTTTGGATAGGACCGTGGCAAGTCTGGAAGGCAGGACGGAGCTAGCATTGGTCAAGAGGACGTGGGCGGTGGATCGTGGTGTAAGGATCGATGACAGGCGGGGAGGAGATCCAAGCGGTACGTATCTTGTAGCAAAAGAGTAGGGCGCGCTGACGCAGATCCATAGCGTCCATATTCAAAAGGCAATCGGAGCCCGCACCTTTCCAAAGGTTTGGACCTGGTCTTTCAGACTTTTCTCAGACATACAAGGCGAGTGTTCGCACTACCATGCGGGTTTCAAGCTAACGCGGCCGTCCTCAGAAATTCACGGTGCAACGAAAGATTGCGATCGGTCGCCACGAGCGCAACCTTGCCATCGACGGCGATTACATTCACGTCAGTCCTCAGCTTACCCCTTTGCTCCCCTGCTGATGGATATTCTTGCAGATAATGCCCTCCGAGTCTCGCGCCTTTTTCGATTCCATGAAGACTACCTCCTTCCACATCTCCCTCGTCGCGGCTTGTAAACTTACCGGTCGCGCTGGGGGTTTCAAGATTAATGTGTGGCGGGATGGAACGCAGAAGAGGTATGAGTTTGAAGCGGAGAATCAGAGGCAGGCCGTGGAGATAGTCTCGACCATCAGACAGCTGTAAGCTTGGCTGGATGGTTTGTCAACTTGTGACAGGTACTGACACTGAATTGTAGTATGAAGGCATGGATGGCGGAGAACAAGAATATTGTTCCGGCTCCGGGGGTAGCATTGAGAAAATGATAAGGGAAGATTGACCGACCATCTTGTAGCTTTAGCTGTTGTATATGAGAAACGAAGATGATATGAACGCCGGAGCTCTTGAAAAAGTGATACGGTACTAATACAAACGGGGCAACAACCATCGCATGACATAATGAATGCAACGTGCACGCGAACGTAACATACGTCGGTCGCCGTAGATGAGTCTGTACAGCCCGTACTGTACAGTATATCATTGTTGTTTCCAAGAGTCCAATATGGAATACGGTAAAAGCCAGGCACACCACGTTCGGGATCAAAACCGCGACGCGTGAATTGTGGCATGATAAACGCGTCGCGAACCTTTTATCTTCCTCATACTCCCATTTTCCAGACTCACAGTGATCATGACCAACCCTGCTGTCGAGTCAAACCCTGCAAGGTCCAACCCCGACCACGGCAAGTGTCCTCATAGCACCCACAGTGTCTAGACTGACGCGTCGCCATCAGAGGAGTACCAATACCTTGACCTCATCTCGCGTATCATCTCCACTGGCCAGACCCGTCCCGACCGTACCGGCACTGGTACCGTCGCCCTCTTTGCCCCTCCCTCCCTCCGCTTCTCCCTCGCCAACAACACTCTTCCCCTTCTTACCACCAAACGCGTCTTTCACCGTGGTGTGATTGCCGAGCTGCTGTGGTTTGTCTCGGGCTGTACCGACGCGAAGGTGCTCCAGGACCAGGACATCCACATTTGGGATGGCAATGGCAGCAAAGAATTCTTGGAGAAGATCGGGCTTGGGCACAGGAGAGAGGGTGATCTCGGGCCGGTGTACGGTTTCCAATGGAGACATTTCGGCGCGGCGTACACGGATGCGGATGGAGACTACTCCGGGAAGGGCGTCGACCAGTTGCAGGAAGTGATTCACAAGATCAAGCACAATCCTACCGATAGGCGTATAGTCTTGTCTGCTTGGAACCCGAAAGGTGATTATCGGTGTCCCTAGTATTCACAGAAGCTGACAAAGCCCCAGACCTCCCACTGATGGCCCTCCCTCCCTGTCACATGTTCTGCCAATTCTTCGTCTCCCTCCCACCCGCAGACTCGCCGGGATCCAAGCCCAAGCTGTCGTGCTTGATGTACCAGCGCTCCTGTGACCTCGGTCTCGGCGTACCCTTCAACATTGCCTCCTATGCCCTCCTCACGCATATGATCGCATTGATCACCGACACCGAGCCTCACGAGTTCATCCTGCAGATGGGAGACGCGCATGTCTACAGGGATCATATTGAACCTCTCCAAGAGCAACTTGTGAGGGAACCGAGAGCATTTCCCAAGATCAAATGGGCGAGGAGCAAGGAGGAGATTGGAGATATCGACGGGTTCAAGGTGGAAGACTTTGTCATTGAGAACTACAAGCCTCTCAAGTCTATCCAGATGAAGATGTCGGTAAGTCGCTTCGTGTTTCAATGGCTTTGCTGGAGGCTGAATCCAGGGTGCAGGCTTGATCTTGGACGCGCTATCATTTCAACTTTTAGACAACTTTTTCTGGGGCTCATGTACTACTCTGTCTGTGATGTGTTGTTTATGGATCAATTGATGGTACATCTCCATATAGTAACAGACTATGCTAATACCACTAGCCAAACAAGCAACGCCGCTTTTCCGGAATTCTCCATGGTGCACCTTACTGTGATACAGACGACGCACCCTTGATGGTCAGAGAACGATGGTCAAACCGTCGACTTCACCTATCGCCATCATTAGCCCGGCTTCAGAGAAACTCGACGACTGTGGCTTACCAGCAAGCAGCTTGGAGAAAAAGAGAGTGCTCTTGAATTCATTATCGGGAGCGTCGTCGTCCTCAGCGGCGGAAATGTTGGACCTGAGGGAAAGCGTAGTGGAAGAGTGGCGACTACGCCTACCCTTGTCGCCTGCCGTCACTTTCGCTTCACTCGAGAGGCCGAGAGAATCCAGATCTGTGGAAAGAATCCTGGCGGGCGTGTGGTGCACGTCGTGCGCGATGGCTAGCAAGGCGGTCAAATGCTGCGCGCAAAGGAAGGAATCACAGAGGGCACTCACCAAGACGAGCCATCATTTTCGCACATCCCTCCATGTCAGGGGACACAGAGGAGCTGCTCCTTTTTTGCAATACCACGCTGACCTCGGACGTTGGTGGCTTGGCGCCATCAATGGACATTTTGGTGGCAAAATCATTGACGAGGTCGGTAGTCTTTCCCCCTTCAACGATACCGTTCTTTTTGACACTGAAATCACTGCTTGGGGACAGGACGGAGCAAGAGGTTTTCTTGCTCAGCTTGTTCCCCTTGGACTTGCCAGCTGACAAGTGTCTTTGAAGACGAGCGAAGTGAGAGAACGACGATTTGACTCGTGCAACGTGCTCCTTGTGAGCCGCCAGGAGCTTCTTGTTGATAGCCTCATACCGAGCTTTCTTTGAAGCCAAAGAGAGGCCTGCCTTGGGTATGCCTCGGGGGATGCCAACCTCAACTCGAAGGCTGGAAGTGCTAGGCATGAGTGTAGTGGGAGACATTTTTGAATGGGAAAAGGGAAGTCTGGTTTGCGGGTGGTGTAGAAAGGAGAGATGAGTCGGTTTTCTGCCTCCGCTCCTCATTTCGACCTGTACTTGCATGGGACCCGCCCCACATTAAGTGGAAACATGCCCTGCCACTGTCAGCGGATACTAAGCGCATGCTGGCGGAAAGAGTTTTGAATGAGAAGAAAGAGATCTTGCCAGGCACGGTACGAGTACATATGGATTTCGCCAGGCACGGCGATAAGCATTTAAAGTTTGTCGGATATACTGGGACCAACTGATAAGGATCTGTGTGGCTTGGACAGGGGATGATATGCGAGCATGGATAGATCATAGATGCATGAGCGAGGGTAGGAGCAATCGACAGATACTTTTGAGTACTATACATAAGGGCTTTTTGGTAGGACAGCTGGAGTCTGCGGCGTCCGCCCAATGACTGGGTACGTACCCACCACCACCGCTTACAAAGAATCAAACGACGACGGGACGGTGCGTGGAGAATTGACCGTGTCTTCGTACACCTGAACCAGCTATCCTCCTTGGTGGTATCTCGTATCTGCTATCGGAGCTCTGCTTTCTCGAACCTGCGAACCTGGGTTCACTATAACCATAGATGATGGGATGGCATGATCTACTTTATATCTTCTAGCTCTCAGGTGCCATTCCGCGTCGTCTTTTCAATCACTGCCGTTACTACAGCTGCAAGTGGGAATCATGGTACGATGGTTCACCAGAGTCAGCAGAGCGGCGGCACATCAATGTGCAGTAATATCAATCGACTTGACCCTCAACAGGAGCTACTACCTGTACAAGTCACGGGTGGGGTTCTCGGGATCCTCGGCTGCTTGGCCATGCCGTGAGCTGCGAAAAAAGCAACTGCTAATTCTGAGGCCAGTGAAACTTGAGAACAATTAAGTGGTTAACGTGTAATGTGTCTTTGTATACCGCGTGAGTCAATGCAATCAGATGCCCTATGGTATACCTGTCTTGGAACTTCGAACATTGCTTTAATTGAACGCAAAGTCAAACGGCTGTGGCAGAGGATGTAAATGGCGTGCGAGCTGTACTTTACCAGAAGCTGGCGACCATACCCGCATGAGCTTCACGAACGTACGTTAGTCCAAGAGGTAGGTGTACGACGAATGTGGCTAGACCTTGCTGGAAACATATAAAGCACAGCAGCGGCATACCTGGCGCCTGCCGAGAAGGGCTAGATCGGTTGAACGGGTGCCCGCAGAAATTCAGCAGCTGAGACTTCGCGGACTTGCGCGCCGAAGATCGAAAAAAACGCCACCGTCTGCCGCCTGCCGTACATGCATCCCTCTGCAATTTGGCGTGCCCTATGTCCCTCATGGGCCATGCACCTCCTGCCTAATCATCGAGGTCGTCCACGTCCTGTGTCTTATGCCTCAAGTGGGCCTTCTGACCGAAACATGAACTAGTCCACAGACCGGTGTCTTGAGCTGAGACGACGACGTCCAGTTGAGCTATCTTGAGACTCAGCCTGCGGTACTCCAAGACCGACTGTAGATCTGGTACAGCTCAGGGGCCATGGGAGGAACTACATACTTGACTTTGCTCCGGTTGCGCGGTAAATACAAAAACGCGACCCTCGATATTAAATGGCGATTTGCTAATGTTCCAAGAGACGCGTTACACCTCTCGAAACCTCCGGTCTCCTGCCTCCTCAATCCTCTCGGGCCTCTGTAAGGACATGTATCCCGGTATCTGTGTGCTCGAGTACACCATGATGTCGTGTAGTTCCTGCCCAAGGCGCACAGCTCTCCTAGAAACATGCAATGCTGTGGAGGGGCGTCCGATGGTAGGGCACGAGCGACGAGATATTTCGTTGGCTGAAGTTTATAGGCAGCATTAGGAGATTTTCTGATGATCAGAAAACTGGTCCCACACTCGCCGAGGGAGACTCTGTTTGAGAGGGGCGGTATGCACTGTGTGTCTGCTCTGTGTGCTCCCAGGGGGGCTGTGGGTGAGAGAGATGCATAGGAGGGGGGGCTGTGGAGCGCAGAAAAAGCACGGCGACGCGTGGTGGGACATGGGTGTTTCAGGGAGAACGCGCGACTGGATTTTGGGCGACCCTGACCATTTCCTCGACATCCCGTTCCTCAATTCCCTCTGCATCCCCTCATCCCATCCTCCCATTCTCATCCCCTCCCCACCCCCCCCCTTTGCAATCCCCCTGCCCCCTCCCCTCCCCCGCTCCACCCATCTCCCTCTCTCCCCATCCCCTACTCCCAACCTTCTCGGCACCTTTTCACCATGCCCTCGCCCAAGCGTACGCGCTCCGAGGATGGCTCCACTCCATCGTCCACCCCGTCCACCCCCTCCTCCTCTCGCTCTCACACGCGTGCTGCTGCCCCCGTCGAGAACACCCCAGTCACCCCGTCCACTGCCGCCTCAGCCCGTCTCTCGTCCCGTCGCCAAATCTTGACGCGCTCGCAGTCTACAACTACCAACCTCTCAGACTTGGCCAGGCCTCCCCGTCGGACAACATTACTCGGGCCAACATCCTCATTGCCCAACATGGGCTCTCCATCCAACCCTTTCACGACGGGTACGAATTTTGCAATGACCCCTCCGACCACTAGGACGCGTTCATCAGGGACCTCCATGCTGTTACGTACGCAGTCGACGCCCTCCCTTACGTCTGCGGGATCGAGTTCCCTCAAGAGCTTGGCCGGTGCGCCTGCTGGTGAGAGTGAAAAGCCAGAGAAGGATGGTTTGGGAGAGTCGCGCAGGTTTGGAAAGGGTAAAGAGAATATCCCGCCCAAGAGAGCCGAGCAAAATGACGAGGATGAAGGACCGCGAAAGAGGATCAGAATGTCCAGCCGGAGCAGTTTCACGGGTGCTTCTGGACGTGGACGAAGTGGAAGTGTAGCGAGTATCAGGAGCGAGTCTACCAACAGTGAGTTCTCTTTTGTCTGCCGCGACTTGTCGCTTAGCCCGTACAGATGGGAGACACGCCTCATTGGCACCGTCTACATCGTCAATGGCATCCTGGGGACGCGCTTCTTCTCCAACTCCCAGCGACGCATCGTTCTCCACCACCATCCCCGACCTCCCCACTCCCACCCAGTCGTTTGACCGTCTCACATTCGACAGCGACCCTCTCGAAACCCCCACCAAGTCACGTGCCACCCGTGCCCATGGCCTTCTCACGCCCCCGCCGTCTTCGCCTTCCACCATGGATGTCGACCCTCTTGAACTCTCGGCGGGTCCTCGGTTCACAAAAGAGGTTGGCGCGTACAAGCAGCTCAAGGCTGCCCTTCGGCTGTCGGCGGTCTCTGGATCTTCGCTCGATGACACCATCATTGGACGAGACGAAGAAAAATCCATCATCAGTGCTTACCTGAACAATACGGACAGCACCACTGACGTGGGCATGTACGTTTCTGGACCCCCGGGTACAGGAAAGACTGCGTCGGTCTCTGCTTTCGGCAGGCAACGTGCTGCCCAGGGGTGGAAGGTCGTCGAGCTCGGGTGTATGGGATTGAAGGTCGGAGATGTCTGGAAGAGATTGGGTGAAGAGTTTGGTTGTGGCAAAAGCGAGAAGGATGTCGTCGAGTATATAAAGTTTGAGGCTACGCCTACGTGAGTAGACTTGATTGACACGGGAGACGGCGCTGACAGTCCCTAGATTCATCATCCTTGACGAGGTCGACTCTCTCATGCCCCCTCCCCCGTCCAAGGCACCTTCTGCCGTCTCTCACTTGCTGGCCAAGCTGTTTTCTCTCCCGCACTCCAACCCCTCGGTCAAACTGATTGCCATCTCCAACACTCTCGATCTCACCATCCGTGCGCGTCTTGTCCTCCCCAACAACCTCCAGCCTTCCGTCCTGCCTTTCAAGGCCTACGGATCGACAGACATGAGCAACATTGTGAATTCTCGTATCGCTGCTGCTGCTGTGGAAGGCGTCAAGGTGGACAACATGACCATCACGCTCTTGGGCAAAAAGGTCGAGGCCCAGAATGGCGACTTGAGAATGTGTCTCGGTGTGCTCGGATCTGCCATCTCCCTCGCCGAGGCAGAGTACGTCAAAAAGCTGTCTCACAACCCCGACCCTTCCAAACCCGTCGTCATGACCAAAGTGGCCATCACCCACATGATGAAGGCTCTCGCGTCCTACACGGCAAAGCTCCGTGCTTCTGCGGGTTCGGCGGTGGGCGGCAAGGCGTCAGAGACTGGCAAGAAGGTCAAGTCGGTCCAGCTGCAGGGCAAGATGGTGTTGTTGTCTATGCTGGTTTACCTCATGCGCGTCAAGGCTGGTTTGCATGGATGCCCGTCCATGAAGGCTGCTTCCGCCCCTGCTTCGGCCGATCCAGAGATCCCAGCGCCAGTTTTGTACGCTACCTATTCCCACCTCCTTTCCCACAACACCTCGCCCTTCCCCCCCGCGGCACAATCAGACTACCTCGACCTGCTCACCCACCTCGAGTCGCTCGGGCTCATCTCCCAGACTGCCACTTCAGGCAGGGGAGGTGCGGCGGGCAACGTGGTCAAGATTGTCTTGTGCGTGCGGGAAGAGGAAGTGCGGGAGGGACTCGGGCTCGGGGAGGGGCAGGAGAGGGGTATTGCGGAGGAGGAAGTGCAGAAAGTGTGGGAGAGGGAGGAGGGGAGGGTGAGGCGGGTGAGGGAAAAGGCGGCCAACGCGGCAAAGGCTGGACAGGATGACGAGTAGGCGGGACGATTTCGGTCACGATCAAGTATAGTCTGAGAGGTTTACCATATCTATTACATATACCGTACATTATGCCCTGTTTGATCTACGTACTGCGATACTTTATAAATGAGCGTTGTTGATAGTAGATATATACTGAAATCATGTCATGAATACCATTGTCTGTACCCTATTCCTCCACAGTACCCTGTGTGATATCTTCCTAGACACCTCTCGCTCCCTCACCGCCTTGCCATAGCAGTCTTGAAGCATGCAGCTGGACACGCACCTCTGCCATCAGCGCGTCGTTGAACGCAAGCATTCATGACCGGTGGGCTTCAGGATCGTGAATTGCCCGAACAGGGAATTTGCGGAATAACATCCAGGCACGGTTAGTCACTCGTCCTCTACGGCGCCAGATCCGCCAGCTCGGGAAATCAGTTGGAGAAGGGTCTGTCTGGCCACTATGCAAACAGAGGTCTGTCTCTCGGGAGGTGCTCGACTATGCTCAAACTTCAAGGTGTATGTAAACGTTGAGCTCTGCTCGGGCATTCTCAGAGCCTCCTGAGCGAATTCCAGTGACGTAAAGATAAGATTTCGAAATTCTCCGACGCGACGCACCGCTCTTCGCCAAAATATTCGTTGATTTGTTCGTGTTCCGCCTTCCATCCCGCCGACGGTATCGCCTCCATATATATGGCCCCATGCAATTCTCATCTCTTCTTTCATCCACACTTCATCCCCAACTTCCCAAACCTCATCCCAGTCACACTGGAAGCCTCACCCCAACACCAGACCGCACCACCCAACCAACATGTCTGCCGTTCAGCTTCCTCCAGCCTCCAGCCAGCTAGCCTTGAACGAGCTTGGATACCCTATCTTCCCTCCCCGCCTCAGACTTCCACCCTTCAGTCCCAGGTGGAACTATTCCCATGTAAAAGCCCTCCTGGAGAGGGCCAAGATGGTCGACTCTGGCATTACCGTGAGTACACTGTCAAGGCGGTACATCAAGCCGTACATTACCTTACTGACCTGATCATAGGCCGATGACCCCGCCCCCACCTATAGACCCGAGGAGGTACTCCACCAAGCCTACCTCGCGTCGCGTAGCACATACTCCATGATCGAAAGCCCCAGGGCTCACCCCGAGGAGATGGTGTTGCCCTCTTGGTCCCCCGCTTCGCCTGTCTGCTGCCCGGCTTCTCCTGTCTACTGCCCGGCTTCTCCCATCTACTGCCCAGCGTCTCCCGTCTACTCTCCCGCTTCACCCACCTTCTCTCTATTCTCGCCTGTATACTCTCCGGCCTCTCCTGTATACTCTCCGGCCTCTCCGGTGTACACCCCTACCTCACCCGTCTTCAACACCACCAGCACTGAGGTAGTCGACGAGACTTTGTGGCTGCCTGGATCCCTGTTCACCGAGAGCCCCGAGTCCATCTGTGAGGTTCTGTGCGTAAAAGAAGACTGGGACGTTGAGGAACTCGTTCTCCCTCCCGCCGTCTGCGAGGGCATCGACCCTCTCCGAGCTCCTTGTCTCATTGACCAGGAGAGCTTCGAGCAAGGTGTCGACTCTTGGGTCTGCCCAGGCTCCCCCATTCCCGCCTCCGGCATCACCGACTTCAACACCGAGGGTCGGGAGCGAGGTGCATCTCTCGGAGCTGAGGAGACTTGGGCTGCCTCCTTGACCGTGTACAGCGCGAGTCCCGAGAGTGTCCCTTGCCCTCTTTTGGGGAAAAGAAAGGTCGAGGAGATCTTGGAGGAGGCTGCTGCAGAGGGACTCGAGTTGCCCTCCCGCAAGAAGGTCGCTCTTCTCAGGAGTAGCCTTTAAACTGGCTCGGAGCATCGAGTGAGCTTGATTTTTGGCGCATGATTTTGAACGACGTACTGACCACCGATTAGTTCCTCCCCCATCATATCGCCTTTCTTTCGAAGGTCGTTGCGGATGTGTACAAAGAGCCATATGAGCCGACACAGATTTCTAGAATGACGGACTGTTTCCCGAACCATTAATCAGGCAGTTTCTATAGGCCAATCTTCATTTTCTAGTATGGACAGATATAGTACGCACAATGTATAATGATTATGGATGACGATCTGGTGAAGATTAAGCCACTAACTCTGCAAGTCATCCGGATTTGAATGAGCATTCAGCAAATGATGCAGACATACATGCTCCGCATATATAATGACAGCGTACAAGTACAGTAGCAGACCACAAATCACTGATCGAATGGGGTTCTGGTATAAGCGATGACCGCAAATGGAACAGATCGAGTACGTCTGCTACCCGCCATCTAGTCCTCTTCCGCGCTCGCTGCCATCGCCATCTTATCCCGGATACGCCTAACCTTGCTCTCCTCCCTTTCCCAAACCCGTCTCACCTCCTCCTCCCCTACAGCACTTTTCGCAGCCGTTCCCTCTCCCAGCCCCAAACCTTCTTTGATCTCCTCCTCCTTCATGATCAAGCTGATTCTATTGCCAGAATGTGAGGATGAACGTGTGGAAGAGGAAGGGCAAACAAGGGCGATGAGGCCAAGAACTTCCAAATTGGATAGGAGGTCGCGGTAGTCTGACTCGGGGGCTGGAGGGAAAGGGGACGAGTGATGGGAGAGGATATGAGAGTAGGCGGTGTAGAGAGCGGAAGCCGAGATATCACTACAAGGTGTGGAAGAGCCCGACCCACTGACGGAAGGACATCCATTCAGCCCGGCCTTGACCCTCACCATCCACACCAAGATGGCAACCAACACCATCTTTCCCTGAAGCCCCACCGACTTGATCTTCTTCCCCGCCGCGGATGATGCCCCAGCGGAAGACCCTGCAGCAGCACGAAGCCGAGAGGCGTAGCTGGTCAAGGCCTTCATGACGTGAGAGACTCCGACTTTGGGCATGGTGACAGGCTTGGGCTCGGGGTCTTTGGCGGCGGTAGAGATCTTCTTGATCCACTCAGACTCGGCCAAGGAGATCCCTGAGACGAGGACGCCGAGACACATGCGAAGGTCACCGTTCTGAGCCTCTACCTTCTTGCCCAAAAGGGTGATAGCGGTAGTATCGGCCTTGACAGCCTCCGCACCAGCAGAGGCAAGACGAGCGTTGACGATGGCGCTCATATCGAGCTGACCATAGGCTTTGAATGGGAGCACGGTGGGCTGGAGATTGTCAGGAAGGACGAGATTCGCTCGAGTAGTCAAGTCAAGGGTGTTGGAGATGGCGACAAGCTTTGTGAAGGGAGACTTCAAGGGTAAAGAGAAGAGTTTGGCGAGGAGATGAGATACCGAAGGGGGAGCGGTGGCAGGAGGTGGAGGCATGAGCGAGTCCACTTCGTCGAGGATAATCATACTGAAGAGAGTCAGCGCGGATATGTATGTCGCGAGAGCGGACTTACACCTTGGTATCCTCCCGAGAGACAAACTGCTTGACTTCTTTCTCGGTCCTTCCACACTCCAGCTCCGTACCGATAGTCCTCCATATATCCTGCGGTCTCATGCCCATGCAGACAAGTTCCACTACCTTCCAGCCTTCGCCAGCCATCTCCCTGCCCAGAGCCGTGACGAGTGCCGTTTTGCCAGTCCCAGGCGGCCCCGAGACATACATTCCTACGTCCTCGTCGCTAGCTTTTCCCAAGTACTCTCTGAGCACAAGCTTCTCCTGCTGCCTGCCTATGATAGTGTCATCGACAGACGCGCCAATGATAGACGAGTACCGAAGAGAAGCCTTCAATTGCTTATAAGGATTATTGGGCGCCTTCTCGGTTTCTGTGTCGCTAACATCTCCCGAGTCGAGTATGTCATCTTCGTCTTCAGGGGGAGTAGAGGGGGGAGGCGTAGGGAGCATCGTTGCAATGCTCCGAGTGATAGGGCGGTGCTTGACCCCCGAAGAGTTGGTGGTGCCGTCCTCATTGTCCAAGACGGAGAGGCGATCGAGAGGTCCGACAGCGTCAAGAGAGAAGGATGATGAAGAAGCGACGGAGGGTGCGGGCGATGAGAAACGACCTCCCCAAGATCCCAAGGAAGAAGATGAGAGCGAGGGGGCGAGTGAGGAATGCCGTCCACCTATGCAAAATCCGTATCAGCGCGAAAGATTAGCGTGGAACGGTAGCGGCGACGTACTGCTGGTAGTCTCACTGCGGACACTAGTCACACTCCCACTACGCTGCCTTCGTCCACCGTTGTAGCTGCCTCTGCTGGTGACTCGCATGCGCTTCTTGGCCGGCTCTGCTTGTCGCTCTTCGTCTCTCTTTGGTGGAATATTTTCCTTGCCCTTGCCAAAGCGCCTTCCACCCAGACCTAGACCGTCACTGTCGCCCTTGGGGGGCTGTTCAGGGGCACCAGATCCAGCCGCAGACTTGATCTGAGATGGGCTCGAAATAACGGGAGTAGACTGGGTTCGCTGAAGCATGCTGGGACCAGCGGACCGTGTGCTGGGACCGGCTGGAAAGGGCCGGGGACCACCAAACGAGCTCTCATTTGCCAGATTTCCTCCACGCGCTGATGACAGGGTGGAGGATGATAGTGACAGGGCAGAGTTGGTGCTCCGTGTCAAAATCGATGGGGAACTTGAGCCGCTGCTTGGGTGGTTGCGGGTGGCAGGTCGACGCGAGACAGAACTGGCACGCGTTCGTGGGGGCGTAGGTGTAGGCGTAGCACCCGAGCTGGTCTGCCTGGTAGGGGTGGAAGAAGAGGGGCCGCTGGGTGGGGGACAGGACGAGGTCGAAGCCGGGTTCTCGTCTTGTTGACGAGTACGCTTTGCTGTGCCTGCCATGGCGAGAGCGCGAGGGTGCAGCGAGAGGTATCGGAGATGGGCGACGCTGTGGCAGCAGGGAGAAAGGGTACAGGGTACAGGAGGGCTTAGAGGAGATGTAGGAGGGGCGGATAGGGAGGAGAGGAGACAGGAGACAGGGAGAAAAAGAGGTTTGGGAAGAGATCACAATAAGAGGTGAAAGAGAATATGGGCGCTGAGCTTCTCTGCAGTGCCTGGACGGGACCCTTGAACACGTCTGTCTCTCCCGGCTTCGTCCATCGCCATGCATGCCCCTCAGATACATGGTCAGTAGTACAAGTAAGTCTTCTCCATGAGCAGATGTATACACACTGGGGCCGCCCCCGGCAAAATATTCACTTTCGTCCAATCACGGACACTGGCGGACGGAGGCCCGGCGGCTGAAGCCGTCACTCAACTTGAGGATGTGGCGCTCTTTGAGGTATTGGCATCTTCGATCTCTCGCGAGGCGGGCTCCTTGCTTTGTGTCTTTGTACTGAGGCCGATTTTCTTTGCGAAGCGTCAACGTTATAATGGAATGGCATCATAGCGAGTTAGGCTTGCTCCTTATCACTTATGAGCATGTAAGGGCATTGGAATGATGATGATAACATGCAACTATATTTTTGTACTAATGTCGATGGTATATCTCGACCGATCCATCCCGCATTACTCCATCGTGGACTTTCTCCTCCTCTTCGCCTTCGGTTTGTCCTCTGTCACCTCTTTCGTACTCTTACCAACAGCGGCCTTCTTGCTGGTCGTCTTTCCGCCCGTGCTCTTCCTCGCCGGCGCTTTGCCTGATGTAGCAGGCCTACCTGCACCGTTGACAGGAGCAGTGGCATCCGATCCAGCGACCGAAGCACCGGCAGCAGTCTTGGACGTCTTTGCTTTCTTGGCCGCAGGTGCTTCCGAGCCACTCTCTTCGCTATTGGCATCATCAAAGGCAATGGGGTCTTTGCTCGTTCCTGAGCCCTTCTTCTCTTTTCTTCCAATCGTCACCTTCTTCTTCGTCTCTAAAAGCTCTCCGCTCTCTTGTTCGCCTCTCCCTTCGCCCGAGATGTCGTCGACTACAGCGAAAAGCCGGGTAGCAAGCTGCCTTGCGCCCGTGACCTCACCAGACAGACCATCGCCCACATTTCTCTCGCTTGCAAATCTCTCCCATGGTTTACCCTTTCCGGAGTCTTCTTCCACAGGAGACGGAAGAGCCGTAGTTTTGACCTCGCCATCTTCGGGGAGCTCGTCGTCTTTGTTTTCTCGAACTTGTCCCGAGTCTGGGGGCGCGTCACGAGTCATACGAGGGTGGAAGAGCGAAACCGGGATCGATGACTGATCTCGCAGAGGATTGCTGGCAAGATACATGTCTTGCGGACCATATGCCTTCCTGCTGGGACCCAGATAGTCAAACAGCTCCCATTTCCTATCGTCCAGCGGCATCGCAGACTCCAAGTCATAGGCATCTCCGTTGATGTGGATGTTGTCTCTTGTGTTGTCATCGGCCGACGCATCAAGGCTGACCAGTGACATGGAGCGAGGGACGGGAGAAAGGTGCGGTAGGGCAGCTGTGAGGTCGGGGAACGAAGCGAGGGTGTTTTGAGTGTGAGGAGAGACGGTCTCGCCAAGGAGAGAAACCTGGGAGGCCGAACGAGATTGCGGAGGTGTACCTGGAATAGCGTCAACACATGACTGAAATATCGTCAACTTGCTTACAATCAACAATATAGGCGAGAATATCCGCCATAGATTTGGCACTGCTCTCGTCGAGAATATGTTGTCCAGCCTGCAGAGTCATCGTGTTAGTCATTGCGGTAATCCCACGAGCAAGAGCTTACCATCACAGCTCTGAAAAAGCAAACAGAGAGATGCCCAAAGTTTGGCCTTACGACCCCCATTCCACCTGCCGATCCATCACCAGCCATCGTACCAAGAGTAAATTTGAGTAGCTCCACCACGATCTTCAATAGCGTTCCAGGCTGCGGCGGAGATATCCCATGCGGCAAAGACTGCTCCCAATCTGTCGAAAAGTGCCTTTCGACGCTCTGCAGGGCAAGGGCGAGAAGGTCCAGCAGCTTGTGTCTAGATGAGTGGATCGTGGGGTCGAGGAAGAATTGCGGTGTACCAGACGTCGAGAGATAAGAAGTTGTGCTTTGGAGAAGACGAAGGAGCTGGTCAATGACCTTGACGGCGGCTTCTAGCTGTGTTTCCGTCTCGGCGCCAATTGCCTGGCCCAATAATGAAGCTAGTCTGTCCATGCCAGCTGCCAGAATCTAGAAAAATGAGTGAGCTTCAGGTGTATACAGTTTGAAGTGACATACCTCTTGCGTGACCACACTATCAACTCCCTTGAACACTTCAGCCAGCAAGTCGACATCTTCAGCGTTGGTCTCCCTCTCGAGCGTAGCCTGGACGAGC